GTATTTGAAATATACGAACTCTGCCGTCAGAATTATTTTTGATTCGTGTAAAACAGAATATAGAGAATAATTTAAAATTATTTTTTCGTCGATTTTGCATTTGGTTTTCTTGATATTGGGCTTTTATTTTTCAGAAAGAATGTACTGTATCTCCCGAATGCAAGGACGTAGCGATGTCAAAATTTGTCCATATCCTATCTAAGATAGTTGCATTAAATCTGTGAACAGAAAATTGTTCTATGATTACGGAAAAAATTTCGGGGCTCAAAGGGTTAAATTTAAATACCGTCGGAGTGTAGGATTGGGATATGAACGTAGTTTTGGAAATTTGTTACTTATGTGTACGAAAAGTACTAAATCGTACTATAATCGTTACAGTTTGGATTTTGGTGATCTTATAGAGCGGGAACAATGAAATTTGGAGTCAGGATCACTGTAGCGGTTTGGGATTGGGGACAGGATTCAGTTTAAGAAAATAATACTTATGGGTAATAAGTGGTACTAAATTTGGTACAATTTCAATTTTAGGTGAACCAATAGAGCTAGAATCATGAAATTTGGAGTCAGGATCACTGTTGAGGTGTAAGATTGAGATATGTAGAATGTTTTACAAATATATACTAATGTGTACTAAATTTGGTACAATTTGAATTGTGGGTTAAGCTATAGAATTGAAATACTGAAACTTGGATTTATGATCACTGTGGGAGTGTGGGATTGGTGTATATAGAACATTTTGGAAATTTGGTACAATTTGAATTGTGGATGAATCGATAGATTTGGAATCCTGAAACTTGAATTTAGAATCATTGTGGGGGCGTAGCATTGGGGTATGTAGGAAGTTTTGGAAATTGTTACTACTGTGAACTAAATTTGGTACAATTTGAATTGTGGATGAATCGATAGAGTTGGAATCCTGAAATTTTGATTTAGGATCACTGCGAAGGTGTAGGATTGGGGTATGTAGGAAGGTTTGGAAATTGGTACTATTATGTACTAAATTTAGTACAATTTTATTTGTGGGTGAACCGATAGAGTTAGAATCCTGAAATTTTTTATTATGGATCACTGTGGAGGTGTAGGATTGGAGTGTAGAGTTGTGGAGTGTAGAGTTGGAATCCTGAAATTTTGATTATGGATCACTGTGGAGGTGTGGGATTGGGGTATGTAGGAAGTTTGGAAATTGGTAGGGGAGACTGGGGCACCTTCGGCATCGGGGCACCTTCGGCAATCGCGTTTTCGATATGAAGCTCTCACCGTACATCACTAGTTTCGATACATAGGTATCGAATATCGAAATAAATAACTTACACAAAGTTTGAAATTTCTAGCTAATAAGCTTATTTAGATACATAGGTTTTTGTATTTTTATGGATGTTTCTGTAATATTTCAATTCCATTTCGTAAGTATTTCGTGTATAAAACTTTTTTAAATTTTTAAGACAATATTATTAAAAAGTGGTTAACTACGATGTGTATTATTATAGAAATATTTAAAAATATAATATTTTTACAAAACTGATCGAAAAAAATGAAAAAAACTACAAAAAGTACATTCGGGGCACATTCGGCATTTTAAATTGGGGCACATTCGGCCATATACAGGTTGTGCAATATTATTTCCTTAAAATGTTTTTGAGTTTTTCTTTAAAACTAATCCTTTAATATGGCTCGAAATTGCATATAAAAGATCAAACGTGCTTATATTGACGAAAATGCGATAGAAAACCCCTATTTCTGATGGTGTGTGCGACCTTGAGATGTAAACGTCCGCCGCTAGAAAATAAAGCCCTATAATTCAAACATTGTGTGGCGTATTAAAACCAAATAGAGCCTTTAGATAATCAGAATTTCAACCAGACTGATAGCGATGACAATTACCCGGCTATGACTATGGTGCCGAATGTGCCCCATCAAATGCCGAAGCTACCCCGGGTTGGGGCACATTCGGCGAATTTGACTTTTTTTACAAAACTGTAAAATTTTTTAACTAATACTATTTTTATATATCTTTTTGGTACTATTTTTCATAATTAAGTGTCAGAGGACAATAATCAGCCATAAAGTTGTTATATATGTTGAATATGTACTGAGATATAGAGCTCTAAAAAAAAAGTGCCGAAGGTGCCCCAGTCTCCCCTACTACTGTGTACTAAATTTGGTACAATTTGAATTGTGGGTGAACCCATAGAATACTAATCCTGAAACTTGTATTTAAATCACTGTAGGGGTGTAGGTTTGGGGTACGTAGGAAGTTTTGGATCTTGAATTAGGATCAGTGGTACTGTGTACTAAATTTGGTAGTATTTGAATTGTTGGTAAACTGATAGAATTGGAATCCTGAAACTTTGATTTAGGATAACTGTAGGGATGTGATACCCTTCACCACTTTGGGTATACTTAACAGATGAATCCTAACAGACGTCGCATTAAAGGACCAGTAAAATGAAATTGGATCAATAAACATGTCATTCTGCAACCGATACTAAATTTTTCATTTGGTCAGATATAGTCTATATCTAAATCTGAACCGATTTCAGGAAACTTAATACATATCATTCTAGACCTAATTCATTACGCTATGCCAAATTCCGTGCATATCGAAAGATATATAGGGACTTTGGTTGACCATTTAGATTAAATATATATGCGAGCTATATCTAAATCTGAACCGATTTCCAGGAAACTTAACACATATCATTCTAGACCTAATTCTCATGGTTCTCAAAAGGAACCATTTGTCTATCTCGTTTCCTTTTGCCTGTTACAAACATATGCACAAAGACATAATACCCTGTACCACAGTGTGGTGAAGGGTATAAAAATAAAGAGTTTATACGCCATAGAAAATCGGACTCCAAAATTGCTTTTCACTTTATTGGACAAGAAACCTGTATTTCAAGTTTTATGAATTGCATACATAAAATGCAGAAATATGGACTTTGGCAACACTGTCTGAACAAGAATTATTATTATTCTTTTTATTTTGTATGTCTTATTTCGACTATCTGAATCGATCTAGCTATATATAACCGTCTATTAATTACAATTTGTAATCAAAGTTCAGGCCGTTAGTTCGTCGTTAAGAAATTTTGTATGTACTTTCGGTTCTTGCCAACAACCACATTAATAGTTTTTTTTCCAGCAATCGGTTAATATATAGAGGATGGAATGGACCAACATCTTGACTTTTGTTAATTTTTCTGGTCACTTTGGAAGCCATATCAAAAAAAAAGATGAACTTGACTTAACGATGTGTTTTGACTTTTTCAACTTGGAGATAACAAATTTTAAGATTGCTAAATATCAGTGCCACACGCGATATTCTAATGTGAATGTGTTCGATCAATAACCGGTATTTCAGAAAGCATTACCCGCATTGTCGTACATATATAAAGAGTCGTTCGGCCAATTGTAGTGATGCATTATCTGAGATAAATCTATAAAATCAGATTACCTATAATGCAAATGATGTCACCCTTGTACGTAATATAAATTAGATTAAAATGTTTTGAAACACGTTTATTAAAATTAAGATCTAGAAATCTTGATTAGCATACACGTTCCTTAAAACTTTTTATCGATCTTATTTTTATTTAAAAAAATATATATTCTATTGCAAAGAAATATCTACAAATAAATGTCTCACCTAAAGTAATTGTGATCACAATTGAACTACACTTTAAGTCTAAAATTTCACGATGCGCAGAATATAATAGAAATCCCTTTGTTATTTATTAATCGGATGATTAGCCAGTTTTACACAAAGTGTACAACTATACAAACATCAAAAATTACAAGTAAAAATGTAATTAGGTTCGCCCGTGACGAACTTTTATATACCCTTCACCACTAGGTGAGCATTAAAAATTTCTAAAAATAGTTCGGGGTCGCCCTCTAAAATACCGAATAATGAGCGTTACCATTATATGGGATCTACCCGGAAACATTGGTCAATATTGATAATATTTGGTAGAGAGATGTTCCAATGAATACCAAACATCTGGGAAGTAGTAGTAATATATATGCAAAATTTCAAAGCTCTATCTGTTATATATTGCGAGCTCTATCTTGACTTTAACAGACGGACGAACATGGACATTTTTAATAAATAATAAAGGTCATGAAAAATATTTTTCAATAAATCCACACCACTTATAGGCCATGAAAAATATTTTTAATATACACTTTATGGGATCTCCGATTAATATTTCGTGGTGTTTCCAACGGAATGCCAAATTTAATATACACTGCCACTCATAATGGAGGGTACCTAAAAAACATTGGGGAAATACTCTGCTAGCGATTACCATCAAATGCACTGTCATTTTATTTTCCAGTGAAAAAGATTAGCTATTTACTATGTGTGTCATTATGCAATATGACTGCAGTGAATATATACTATAATAATATAATTATTATTATTATTATTAAATTTCAATAACAATGATTAACAAAAATTAATAAATAAAATATATTCTGACACGATCTTAGAGGATGAATTCGTTGGGAGTGTGGATTTAATGAAAATTTTGTAACGAAGTATTAAAAACATAACAATGGGTAACTGCATACTGGGAATATCCAACACGTGACAATCATCCCACATATGTGAACATGCCCCAAAAGCATGAGAGAACAATAATTTAAATTGGGAATCACAAAATATTATTTTCTACCGGCAAATGTTATGATGTTGGTGATTGGTGGTTGCATTGTTATTAGCTTTGCTAAATCTACTCTCATCTGCAGCTATAGATGCAGGATGGTCTCCTGGGCGACTACATCTGTATAATGGACATAGAAATCCAGTATCTAGTACCAGGCGCATATTACTTTTAAAAATTGGGTTAATATATTTTCTCGCTTAGCATGGTTTCTTGGATCGCAGTGACTTTTAAATCTTTAATTCAAGTATCTGTACATTTTTATACCTTTCAAATATTATACTTAAGTTTAATTTAAATACTGATCATTATTTTCCCTTCTTTATTTTTTAGAAAAGAAAACTGTACTTAAAGGCATATCGGGGACATTTTTACCTGGTGAGCTGACGGCAATTATGGGACCCTCTGGTGCTGGCAAATCAAGTTTAATGAATATTTTAACGGGATTTACGTACGTTTTTAAACCATCTTTCACAGCCTTGCCCGTCAATTCAGAACATACACATTATAAAATAATTTCATTTGAAATTTCAGAAAAACTGGCGTTACGGGCACTATCAAATTCGGAGATGCACCAAAGGCCCGCAAATTATGCTGTTACATTATGCAGGATGATCATTTCTATGCCTGGTTTACCGTTGAGGAGACAATGATGTTGGCGGCCAGTTTAAAAATATCGAATGAATCGATGCATATACGTGATAGGAAATTATTGGTAAGTAAATAGCGTAATTGATCTAATGTTATTTTTGAGGATAGACATAGAATCATATATTTTCAAACAATTTCATATAAAAGGGTGGAAAATACCTAATTCTGCCCAATAGACATTAAATTTTGAATAGATTGTCGAACGACATATGTCGGTTCAAGTTAAGAAGGGCCCACGATTGTCAAGATAGTGTAGATATACATCCAAATTATGTTTTCTTCTGCACTTTTGGGCATGTGTTAGTTATCATCGATTCTTGCCCACTTGGTTACTATTGGTGATCTCCGAGTATAGCATTCATACAGCATTATTCTACTGCCTCGGCGACTACATCTGTATGTATGCTATTCAGGCCTGTTGAACCAGAGATCTACGCCTTTACCTTGGGATCTTTCTCCCCTTTAGAACATGAAGATTCCTCCAGAGAGCTGGGCGGCCGAAGCCTGTCCGTAAGGCTATGAATGTTTATATGGTCTTCGTCTCCTCATGAAGATGACCCATCAATGACATGAGTGGAAATCCTGTAGCAGTTCACGGGGCTGCATTCTAGCAGATCTGTATATTCTTCCACTGCGTATCACTTACATTCGCTAACCACACTGGCGCCGAAAATCTACTTCGCAAATTATATCAAATTCCAGTGACTTGCTCACACGACATAAAAAGGCTGTCGAACGTTACACACAATTTCTTGAGGTAATTGGAGGTCGGAATCTGTTAAAAGCAGTTCAAGTGGTGAACAGTTTGGCTTCGGATTTTTGGCGGATATTTTCATTTTCCCCAGATGATAACCTGGGTGGTGCAATTGCCCATCATTCCGATTTTTTGTGTTAACCTCGTGGTAAGATTGGTGTTATAGAATATCAGGGCGCTTCAGATTTATTATATCTGGAAGCCGCTTTTTACAAATATTCGAAAACATTTTTGTTTTCATCCGTTGGGATTTCAACCCGATATTAATCAGTTTTTAGTCCGGTACACTCGATAAGTCCTTCGGTTAGTTTTGTAATCATTACTTTTTTCTTATTTCAGTAGATGACCGGTCTGCTGTAGCCTGTCCTAAGTGATGAGGATGCCATCTATCGTTGCCAAGAAACATTTCTATGTTTATGTTATTTCCATGTGCAGATGATGACGCCGAGGATGGGGTTATTAGAATGTCATAAGGGCTTCATTTTTTCAATAAATTCGAAAAATTTGAAACTCGAAATTCATCGGTTTATAGTCTGGTACACTCGTTGCCTAGAAACAATGCGTCCTTGAATTTTGCGCACTGGTTGGGGTCCATGCTTATTTGGTGTTGCCATTTTCCTCTGGGTGGCGCCCCACACTACTCATTATTATTTTTGTGTTATTTTCATGTACTTATGATTATGGCGAGATTGGAGTTACAATAATGTCATGAAGGCTTATTTTTACAAAATATACGAAACCCTCGCTGAAATAAGTCTTCCTCCCCTATTGGGATTTCAACCGGGGAACATTTTGGTTTATAATCTGCCATACACTTAAGTACCACTGCACTTTACTAAAATTATTAGAGGGGACAAAAATCTTGAGAGCGGTTTAGGGAATTATATAGCCGACCCCGATCTGAAATTTGCCTTTTCCTTTCACATTTTTTAGGGAATATTATTTTAAAATTTTTTTCTTTATTATTTTCAGATCGAACAAATTTTGGAAACGCTAAAATTAACAAAAACAAAGCACACACGCTGCAGTCGATTATCCGGTGGCCAAAAGAAACGTCTATCGATTGCCTTGGAACTTATTGATAATCCTGCCGTATTATTTTTAGATGAACCAACAACGTAAGTCCATAAAATATATATTCATAATTCGTCTTGTTATCCATAGAAGTATTGTTCCAAGTAGTTTATACTTGCATCTAATTATCAGACTTCTGTCCTCCATTCCACTCTTCTAACAATTGAAAACCTATAATCACCCGATGTATTATTGACTATAGTTAAATATTGAAAACGTAATAATCTCTGTCATAAAATTTAATAGCCTATAATTGGTTAATAAATACCCACCCAGTGATTTCAGCTCGTTAAGAATTTTACAGCTTATCGACGACATTGATTGCTATTTATTAACCTGTATAACAAGACGGAAGCTTGTTTCTTTTTTGAACCGGACTCGGAGGTATTTAAATGGACAATGTATGGTTATTTGTTCGACATTTACAACATTTGGAAAATAATAACTTGTGGTACAACTCGAGGAGTAATTATTTGAAATTAGATTCCAGTAAATTCATGAAAGTGCTGGGTGATATACTATGAACACGGGTTCTAAACCTTAAAGTACGATAAAAAATATATCAGAAATAACATGTGAAAATGATATTGACTAATGAGGCCTATTTTGCACATTGTTGACTATCTGTATACGAAGATTTCTTAGAGCATTCCTCAACATTCCGTTTATACGTTAGCTGATGTTAAAAACTGTCCCTATGTATTTTCTTCTATGGAAAGGGTTGTGGTTACTCCACCTAAAGATGGACAGAGTTGATAAGACACCCTGCATTTTATCGGAAATAATGGCAGACATTTTCCGCTGACTAACCATTATCTTAAGATGGTCGAATTTTACCAGTATCTCATTTAACACGTGAGCAGAGGAGTGCTATCCAGCGTGCTGTGTGAACGACTGAAGCCAATGGTCAATAACATTATTGGACCATACCAATGCGTCTTCCGGCCTGGCAAATCCACCATTGACCACATTTTCACTCTGCCCCAGATGCTGGAAAAGAACAACGAAAAATACATCGACACATTTCACCTATTCGTCGACTATAAAGCCGCATTGGGATAAGGTGACTGTTTTTCGTATGACCTTTTTAACATCCTGGTGGAACAGAAATGGCTCTATGTACACCAAACAGCATACGCCGACGACATCGTACATAATAGGGCATACATTGCGACCGGTAACAGCCACCTTTAAACGAAGTGAGAATGTGTTTGTCTAAGTGGGTCTTGCAGTAAATGGCGAAAAGACCAAGCTGGCGGTATCAACGCGCAACACGTCCAGTAAACTCGTACCAACTGTGGAACTTGAAAACTACAGCGTCGAGGTAGTGAACAATTGTATACCGCCATAAACAAAGTTAATAACATCAACTTTGAAATCCGGAGAAGAATAATGTTGGCCAACAGATGTTACTATGGTCTGAATAAACAACTCAAAAGCAAGGCCACCTCTCGCCAGACCAAACTCACACTCAACAAGACGCTGATATTACCCGTGCAGTTGTATGGATCTGAAGCGCAAGTACTCACAAGCAGATGTGGCAGTTCTTGGAGTGTTTAAGAAAAATATGCTGAGGAAGATCTATGGGCCGATCTGCGTCGACAGTGAATATTGCCGTCGAATGACATCTATCCATCTATTCTCGGACATTGACATAGTCAGACTATCGAGCTGCAGCGACTACGTTGACTAAGCCATGTTGTGAGAATAGGTGAAGATGCCGCAGCTCAAAAGGAATATAAAAGCGAGCCAAGAGATGGTTCACGCAGAATGGGAAGACCTCGAATCCGATGGAAATATAAAGTATAAGACAACATCTCAAAAAATGGTCTTTCAAATTGAATGAGATGCGCACAAGACAGACGCGCTTGGAAAACTTTTTTTAAGCCCGTCCTGTAATAAGCCGATATCGAGGAACACAGTCAATATGCAACCGGAATTCTCCATATTCTTCCCAATGTGTTCGATCACCTCATGAGGTATATCTACTCGACAGTTTCCCAATTGACTGCAAGCTCCATTCTTTCGTTCGATGGTTCACTAGAGACTAGCTCAAGCAGGATTGATCTGTACTGAACAGAGTGGTGTAATAAGAATGCATGTTCCCTACCATCACTTCTGATACGACCCTTCTTCACACATTTGTAACCATTGCAAAGATGTTCCGACGTAATAAAGTTTCGCAACGACATCGACATCGCAACGACATCGGACAGGGTTATTAACTTCTAAAGATGGTCCAATATCCGAAGTCACATGACTTCTACCCTCATTCTTTCACTCGATGGGTCACTAGAAACTAGCTTAAGCAGGATAGATCTGTACAGAACAGAGTGGTGGTTTAAGAATGCAAGATACCTACCTTCGCTTCTGATACGATCCTTTTTCATAAAAAAGTTTTCTAAATCGCAGCGATATTGGAGACCTGGCCAGTTGTGACATTCTCCTTATTCCGTTGAGGGCATCCTGCAAAGAGAAATACATAAAAATTGTATATATTCATAAAAACTTGTTCTTTCATTTCTTACAGAGGTCTCGACAGCTCCAGTTCCTTTGATACAATCAAACTTCTACAAAAATTGGCCAGTCACGGTCGCACAATTGTCTGTACTATACATCAGCCGTCCTCGAATATTTACAGTCTCTTCAATCAGATTTATGTGATGAGTCAGGGTTATTGCACCTATCAGGGAACACCAGATCGAACAGTGGACTATTTTAAGTCGTTGGGTTTGGAATGTCCCGCCTATCACAATCCGGCCGATTTTTGTAAGTATTATACTTGAGGAGATATCTTCTTCTGTAATAAATAAATAAAAACATATTGATTTCATTTCAGTACTAGAATGTGTTAACGGCGATTATGGCGACTACACCATGGCATTGGCTGAGGCGGCACAAAAACCCGAATGGCGTCATAACTATAATCGCAGTCGGTCTGCAATTATGGCCAGTGATAAAATTGTTGAGGCCAATACCGGCGTCAGTGTACCCAGCAATGGTAAACTTTTACATTCCGCAACGGATGCTTTTAGTAATCGCAGTAGTAGTCATTTCTATCCACCACCGGAATGGGTGCGTCTGTGGCTGCTGATTGGCCGCTGTCATGTACAAATATTTCGGGATTGGGTGAGTGCATAACCTAAATGTGCAACTAGAAAAAATTAGTAATTTTCTTTTTTCAGTCCCTAACCCACATAAAATTGTTAATGCACATTCTCTGCGCCATTATGATTGGTCTGCTCTTTGGTGATTCGGGTTCAAATGCTGATAAACAATTATCGAATTTCGGTTCATATTTGGTGCATACACTTTATCTATGGTATACCACCATAATGCCCAGTGTTTTAAGATGTAGGTGCAAGGACAACCTCTAACATTGATATATAAATTTTAATTTTTGCTCCTCATTTTGTAGTTCCCCAAGAAATCGCCATTATCAAAAAGGAGTCGTTCAACAATTGGTATAAATTGCGCACATTTTATTTGGCCTCGCTGATAACCTCTACACCGGTCCATGTAAGTCTTTTTTCAAGTGACTTTAAGAGAAGTTCCGTTCGAAATTGATTTTGTTTCAATTTTTTTTTTCAGATTATTCTCTCAACGGTTTATATCACTATTACCTATTTTATGACCGATCAGCCCCTGGAAGTCGATCGTTTCGTTAAAGTGATCTTATCAAGTATGATGGTAACCATATGTGCGGATGGTTTGGGTATATTTTTGGGAACGATATTGAATCCTGTGGTAAGTAATTGTAATTAAAGATATACCTGAAAATAAATATACTAGAGCTTGGGTTGAAACAAGGCCTATTAATAAGACCATCTATGGAGACCAGCTGCTTCACAAGTTTGCTGTCAAAATCCATTTTAGTGAAAACGCAAACAACGTCCAAATTATTGACATTAGACTTGAGAAAAAAACAATTACATTTTCATCTACTAGAGCTGTGATGTTCGCCTCTTTAGTTTATATTTGCTCTCGTTTAGCCAGTTTCTTTTGGTTCATTCGTTCAATGATCGATTGAACTTAGGTTGTGCATTACTTTAAGTAAAGTGTCGCATCTTTCATTTACCAAACTCTTTCGATTCTAAGGCATCGGGTTCTACGATACCGGGTTGACCGGGGTACGGAACTCCACCACAGTCTCCTCATCAGCAGTTCAATATCCAGCACTTTTACCCTGCACGTTGATATTCCTACTCCTGATAGTGCATAATTTCTACATTTAATTGCAACGGTCTTCGAAGAAAAATAGACGAGATTGTTTATATCATGAATCGGAAGAATATCTTGGTCGCGGCGGTACAGGAAACCAAGCTTAATAAAAATGGTAACCTACCGCGGTGTGATGGTTACAAGGTAGAAGTGGAGGGCCTAGGCTATAGCACTACATTCTGAACGGATCGCCCGATTTCTTAACTGGCAGTAAGAAAACCAGCTGGCAAAGATTCCGAGAGTTCAACAACAAGAGCTTCAAAGAACCTTCCATTCCTTCTGATATTTAAGTCGCCCTTCATTTACATTGGCTCAGACCACCTTCCCATAATCGTCTCCATGAGCAGACCACCCGATGTAACCTCTGGACGCCGCAATTTTCTTAACAGTAGGAAAGACAACTGGCAAGGATTCAAACAGTTCAGCAACCAGCGCTTCAAAGAACTTTCCATTCCTTATGATGCACGGATAACAGAAAGACATTCCTGGGCATCATTGCATCATACCTGCTGGTCGAATACCCGATTCCCAGCAAAGACAGTTTGTCGAGCATACCGAGACCGGCAGAGCGAAGCGACGAGTACTACATCATATAAGATCTCTTCCCGAAGAGGAGATACCACCAATTTTGCAATGGGTGATGTTGCATGTGCATCCGAAGCGCAAAGTCATCTAAAGTGTTGGCCCCTGAAGGAATATTCATGGTTCAATTGAAACAGCTAGACGATCCCGGAGTTGAGTACCTAACCCAAGTCCTCAATTTGTCCATAGACAGGGTGGTCGCGCTACTAAAGGCAGACTTTTGTCACCAATAGCGATGAGTAGTGATGCACACGAACATGTATTTGTTGAGGTTGTGCTTAGTGTATTTGTTTAGAAGGTACTAGGGGATTTCAATGCCCACCATGAGCTATGGCATTCCGGTCTAGGTAATGTCCAGAGGGGTACAGCACTGGCCGAGAAAATTGATAGCTCAACATTTTGCACGGTTAATGAGTATGTCCCACGAGGAGAGATTGCCACAGTTCGCCAGACATCACCATTGTAGCACCGGGTCTGATAAATGACGTATTCTAGCAACCCGTCATTTCACTCGGCTCAGACCACCTTCCTATCATCGTCTACGTCAACAGGCCACCCGACTTCATAACATCTGAAAGCAGCACTTTTCTTACCATGGAAAGCTAATTGGCCTTGTTTCAGAGAGTTTAACAATAGCCGCTTCAGAGAGCATTCCCCCAAATCTTCGGGTAGCTGAGAGAAATTTCCGTAAAGTCTTTGCTATTGCTGCCGCTCGATACATATCTGCTAGTCGAATACCTGAAATAAGACCAAACTTTCAAGCAGAGACAACGGTATTGGCCAATGAGCGTGATGAGCTCCGTCCTACGACCCCTAAAGACCTAATGTAAGCGATACGCATTGGAAGAACATTCAAACCTGTCAGAATGTCGCCCTGAGAACTGCGTTAGGGTGCATCCTTATGACACCAGTGGACCAATTATCTTACCCGTACATCGTCACAACAGGATGTTGTCGATACAGTACCTGCTTGGGTGTTATCGCCGGAATCATCCATAGCATCACCTTATGGACAGGATTCCCCCACACAGTAAGCATGTAAGGAGAGACCTACATAATCTAAAGAGAGAGGTCCAGGGGTTCTGTATTAACTGGCTTATCGAGCAGAAATTAGCAGCATTCACACAGGCAATGGACCAATACCACTTGAATGCAGTTCTTGGAGTCCACCCACTACCTCCAGCAGCAAAAGAACGACAGCTGCCTAGACAAACGAGAGCGATTTAGTACTCTATTCACCATTTTTCGAAAAAAATATGCAACTGCCAAGGCAAATCAGGACGTTCTTATTTTTATCTAGGCTGAAACATTATACCCTGTACAATATCATATATGAATATCAGATAAATAATACCATAACATTAGCACTGTTCTAACACCTCCAATAATCTCCAAATTATCGACATTTTTCGATATTTTCCTTATAAATTTGAAAAGTTTTACCACTTTTTGTGTACAGGAACTGACAATTACGACCCAGACTTTCCCTTTTTTATATACCCAACTAATTATTCTGTTGACTTCATTTCATTTCAGAATGGCACCTTTGTCGGAGCTGTTACCACCTGCTTTATGATGATCTTTTCCGGCTTCTTGATTTTACTAACACACATGTCCGATTTTATGCGAATGATATCGTATGTTTCGCCCATACGTTACGGCTTGGAAAATATGGTGCTGGCTATGTACTCGAATAATCGACAGGATACCATATGTCCCGATGATGTTCTATATTGTCATTTCAAGTGAGTGTTTTTTAAATAAAAAATACGCTTCCAAATACTAATTGTAATCGATTATTTTTTTCTAGAAATGCTGCAACGGTATTGAAAAGTTTTGGCATGGAAAATGGCAATTATGGTATGAATTTGGGTATATTGGTACTACAGCTGGTCATATATAAATCATGTGCCTATTTTACCCTAAAGCGTCAGGTTAAACGTCAATAGGGTTTGGAGTTAGCTGTTATATTTTTTGTTTTTTAGAATATGTTTTCGATTGTTTGGTGTGAGGAGTCCGCACAATTAACAATGCCACAAATTAGTATTAATAGACATATGTATATAAAATAATTTATATATATATATATATATATATATGAATGTATGTATGTGTTTTAATTATAAATTTAGTTTTTAAGATTTAGTATATAGAACAAATTGGCGAACAAATTTTACTTTGAACACAAAATTTTAAAATTCGAAAAAGAGACTATTTATCTGAATCTAGATTAGAAATAATTTCGAATATATATTTTTTAATAGTAGACACTATGTTTAATATTATTTGTTGTTGGCTTTCCATATGAGTTAAATTTGACATCAGTACTCAGGACCTTATATTAATAGAAGTGCCTTATTTTCGAAACTGAAATGAAAGATTGTTAAATTTAAAATCTGAAAAAAAATATTCTAATTTAATTCACATGATTGGCTTGTTTATTTAATTTGTTTTGCAGACATTTCGAAATGGTGTTTTTTCTCAAATATTTTTTTTTTATATAAATTTCTAAGTCTAGTTATTGTAGAAATCTCAAAGATAACAAAAAAAGACAAATAAAAAAAATAAATTAGTCAAAATGTATATTGTAGAATGTTATTGTAATTGAGGGCTTTTATAGGTATTAGAATAATCATACATATCGCAACTGGACTGGACTGACTTTTGTCCAAAAAAAGAGGTATTCCCATCGTTCGAAGATAATGTATGACCCCCTAGGGTTGCGATATGTATTTAATTATAATTATATTCTTAGTTTTTTGGATTGTGATAAAATATTATTTAGAACAAATTATATACCTGTATACATATGGTATATAGGTGTATATAATTAAGTTAAATGTACTTATAAATGATGATTTTTGTAAAATATAAGATAAGAGAAACCACCAACACACTGCGAATAATGCACAATATAACCAATGATCGAATGAGAAAAAAATAAATATATAGCATTATATGCAAAATAAATTATTGTTTTACTTATAACAAAAAAATATAACATTATAAAAAATTTAAATCAGGTACCATGGCAGAATGTAATACGCCATGCACAATTTCGTATAAGTGAAAAGAAATGTAATGGCTTTTATGCACACTTTACGTAAAATCGGACGAATATATATGGGAACGATATCTAAAACTGAACCGATCTTCACGAAACTTAACTCACGTCATTATAGACTCAATACGCTATGGTATTCCAAATTTCATCTTAATCGGACAAATAATGGGAGTTTAGAGCACCATTTTCACAAAATCGGACGAAATTACATTCCAGGCTCAATTCAATACGATGTGCAATATTTCGTGTAAATCAAACAGTCATAGGCTCATTGGTGCACCAATTACGTAAAATCTGACGAAAATATATATGGGAGCTATATCAAAATTAGAACGGATTTCAACAAAACTTCGCATACATTAATGTGGACCTATTTCAGAACTCTGTGCAAAATTATGTATTAATCGGACACATATTGGGAGTTTGGTGCACCATTTACATAAAATCGGACATGAATGTATATGGTAGCAATATCTAAATCTTAGCCGATTTCAACAAAACTTCACATACGTCAATCTGTACTTGACTCAATACGCTTTGCGAAATTTCTTTTCAATTGGAGTAAGCTTGGTAGTTTGGTGCACCATTTACATAAAATCGGACAAACATATATATGGTAGCTATATCTAAATCTGAACCGATTTTCACGAAGAATTAAAACACAACATTCCACACTCAATTCAATACGCTTGGGCAAATGTTGTGTAAATAAAAAAACATTGGCTTTTTGTGTTGTGTTAAAAAAAAATCTAAGCTAGCAGAAGACCTTGAATTAAATATTGTAAAAAATCGGCAACTAAACAAGGTCTCTAATTTTCTATTTTAAATCTACGATTTTGGGATGTCCTTGAAACATATTATTTAAAATATCGTCAATTGTGAATGATCATGAAATAGTTTTTTTTTTTTTTTTGTATATATTTTAATCCATAGTGGGTTTTAAAATATATTTTTTAATTATCTTAGAAAATTGTCTTTAATTTCATAGTACGACACGCATGGGCGTAGTGTCGTACGATTTAAAAAAAAAAACTACGCATCGGTCTGCTATTCATTCTATAAGTTCCACGCCGTGTTGTTAAACCACATAGATTATTTTTTAAAAGTAACCAAAAATATTCAAGCCGAAAATGGTCTTGAAAAAAATTCAAGGTAACAGATTACCTTGAATAAAATAACACTGTCCAACACAAAAAATAATTACCGCGAAATTCCAACAGATTATGAAATAGGGGCTAAAAAAAGAAGACATGTGTATCGGCGTTTTGAAAGTTTACGTCGGGAGGTAACCAAAAAAGGCGGGGCAATATTCCCCCTTTTCAAGAATATTGATCATTTTCGAATTATGATTTCTTGAAATCCTTGCATTTTAGGTATATAGTGTCTTCGGCAATATTACTGATAAAATATCGAGGAATATTTTGGTCAGCAACTTCAACCCTCAACCGACTCATTCAAATTCAAATTTGTCGCACAGTGTAATTTAAAAAAAATCGGCATCTGAAAAAAGTCTCTATTTTTTTAATCTATGATTGTGGCTGTCATAAAAATAAATGGTAATAAAAATATTTATTTATTTGTATTTTTTAATCACTGTTAGTGGCCTTTAAAATATATATTTTTTAAATTAGCTTTTATAGATTGCTAAAAAAAGCTCACGCACCAATCTCTTATTAAAAAGTGGACGGATTACGGAAAAATTCCCTCTTATGAAGGTCTCTGAAATGTATTTGTAAATAATAAATGCTCCCCTATGTAGGAGCTCACATATCTCCATTCATATCCATAAAACCCACTTTTGCCATCATGACATGTTCTGTGCCCCGTTCCCAAAATATACTCACCTTGACTTATAATTGGCAACCTTAAATGATCCATAGTTTGTTACTGCTGTTGTTGTTTCAGTGGTGTCATGGAATGTAATACAGGAATCGAATTACACAAATGTATATTGGAGTATTGAATACCTCAGCGTTCACAAAAAATGATGATGATGGATATTGCGGCTGTGGTCTTTGATGTTTTTGTGTCTCATTCTAACCTAATCAGTTGAGGGCTAATGCGAAATAGATAATTTGCAAAGCTGGTATTTGTTTCAATTCTAATTAGAAAATTTACAACTTACATTTAATATTTCCAATTACATTACATTTAAAATTTTGTTGAGACATGTTATTATTGCAATGTCGTTAAATAAATTGTGAACACACATTTGCGCCAATTCCAAAGGAAAGGGAAATTATCTGTTGTTGTTTCCACACACACATTGTAACCTTGTTTGTTGTTGTGGTAACAAGGGGGAATTGGTGTTTGCTCTCCCTTTGTTCTTCTTGCTTTCTATTGTTGAATTTATTATTATTATTATTTTTTAAATAAATGACAATTAAATTAAAACAAAACAGGGAAACACTAAAAATTAAGTTAAATAATGGCCGTTCCTTTGAAGGGACTTTTGAAGAGAGCTAGTTGTTATTTTCTTTTATCTTTTTACTATTGTGAATGATCACAGATGTTGGCAAGCAGGGTTGCATAAATTTGCTTTCATTCATTTGACTGCTGTGTTAACAATTCATAGTGATTGGTGCTTTATCAGTAAATTGATATATTGGTATGTTATTTTTTAAACCGATTTGTTTATCTTTAACTTTCAAAATAAATACTGTTTTTTCCAATAAAAGGTGTTGTTGTGGTATTCGAAATTGTTTGCTACCGAAATACAGGGTAATTGAAAATAACACATAAAGTTTTATTTATTATTAAAAAGTGGTCACTTTTTTAATTCTAAAAAATGCTATATGTTAACTGTTTTAAAAATGAAATATTATAAATAAATATTTACAAAAATAAACACAAGAATATTTAACAATATTAGGGTGACAATACGCCCCCTTTTTTAAAGGAAAATAATATATTTTCACTAGCTACCATTTACAAAATTTATGTCCTCTATCTGTCATCTATTTATATAGTCTGTCACCAATCAATCGATATTTATTTTTGTAAATTAAAACAAAATAATAAATAAATTTTATGAAATGTCAGTGAAATATTTAGAAAATGGTTCAAGGTAGGCCATAACAACTTATAAATAACAATTTTGTCATACTGTGGCTTGTTATGCCAAAGTCATATGCAAAATGTGTGACTATATTCGAAAATCGATTTGTTTGAAGTTGAATTTTACAACATTCGTAAAAAGAAATGTGTGATTTGTAAATGAATCAATACATAAAGCATATCTCCAACTCGATTTTGAAAAGCAAACCCAAAAATCCAAGATTGTATGGAAAAAAATTATTAAAAACATCCAATAATAAATTAAAAAATAAGCAGCAAAACCCATTATAACGAATGATATATTGCCAAATAAATCCTTAGAAAGTAGATTAAAACGGCAAAAAATACTTCTAATATGCATGCCGTTTATTATGGGGAGATTCACTTATTCCTGCTACCGAAAATCTTTTTGAGAAAAAAAGTCATAACGCTAATATACATATAATCCTCATAAATATAGTTTTTGTATCAATTTCATTTTATATTGTCACTATTGTGATTGATTTATTTAAAATTCTAGAATTTTTATTGACGATTCTTGTATTATATTTTCATAATTAACAAATATATCTTATTTAGAATACAACAAAGTATGTTGGCAAATTGTATAATAAAAAATTATGTTTACATATTTCCAATTATTGAACCAAACTAATACATTGGTGTTAACAACAAAAGGTGTTTTTTTTAACTATGTGGTATTTCCGTAGCAACCATTTCGAATATCACAATAATACCTCTTTTTTTGGAAATACCAGTATTTATTTCTATTGAAAATTACAGATAAACCAAACGATTTAAAAAATAACAACCAATAACAATCTACTGCTTGAACACTACTAATCACTATGAATGGTTAACACAGCAGTGAAATGAATGAAACCACATTTATGCAACTCTGCCGGCCAACATCCGTGATAATTCACAATAGTGACTGGATAAAAGAAAATAACAACTGGCTCTCTTCAAACGGCAAGGGACGCTCATATTTTTTTAAGTTCATTTTTTTGTGTTTCCTTGTTTTTATATTTAATTTATTCGTGGTTTATTTAAGAAAAAACTATAAATTCAACAATAAAGCCACCGTTTTATTGTATCCAACTATTGAAAGTAAAAGGAAATAAACAATTGAGAGCAAACAACAATTCCCCTTGGTGCTACCAACAGCAAACACGGTTGCATTGTGTGTAGAAACAACAACAGATAATTTCCCTTTCCTTTGGAATTGGCGCAAATGTGTGTTTGCATATTCTTTAAAGACAAATAAATTGAATATGTCTCAACAAAATGGAAATATTAAATGTAAGTTGTTAATTTTCTAATTGGATTAGAATTAAATAATATTTGCTTGCAAATAACTTATTTCCCAGTAGCATTACAGTGTAGGCCTCAACTGCTTTTAGGTTAGAATGAAACTATTTTTTTTTTTTTGGTTACAAGTAGGCTTTGGTATTGTTACGTTACAAATACAAAGGCACAAATACACCATTAATTTTTGTTTTAATATTTAATTTTCATTTTCATCCAGTACGCAAAATATTGGGCAACGGAAGTTCAACATCAGAAGGACAGCAGCCACAATTGGATAATAATGCAAATGCAACTCTAAGCCCAGACTACAACCAAAAACAGCAGCAGCGACAGCCTCAATATCCATCATCATTCTTTGCGAACGGTGAAGGAGATATTCAATATTCCAATATAAATTTGTGTAATTCGATCCCAGCATTTAATTCCACGACACCACTGAAACAGCAGCAACAAACTATGGATCATTTAAGATTGCCAATTATAAGTCAAGGTGAGTATATTTTTGGGAATGGGACACCTGAAAATGTCAATGATGTCAAAGGTGGGTTAATGGATGGAAATGGAGATATGTGAGTATTTGCATGGGGTAGTATTTTTTATAAAAAAATAGATTTCAAGAACCGATAAGAATGAATTTTGAAAAGAAAAACATCTTTTTAATGCCTTCAAACAGTGTGGTGTTTAAAACACCATTAATAAGCATTTTTTTAAATGTTATTTTTTTATATTTTTTGAACCATGAAAGAAAAAAAATCAGTTCGAGGATACATTTTATTTTTAAATATAAATTTTAAGGACCTTCATAAGAGTGAAATTTGAAAAGAAATATTTTTTAATGACATTCACCAGAGTGGGATTTCAAAATAGGCTTTCAAAAACAATTAATGTTTTTTAGGATTATCCACAGGAGTAGAATTTTAAAAAACAATTTTTTAAGATTGTTGCAACTATTATCCCCAGCGCTAGAAATTTTAAGAATATATTTAGGATTATCAATAAGTTTAGAATTAAAAAAATTAAAAATTCTAAAACAATATTTAAAAAATTGTTTTTAAGATAAGATTTTTTAAAAGCGATTGTTAATATTTCTTTATTACCACCAGGGTTAGAATTTTTACAAATATTTTGTAGAAATATTAGTGTAAGAAAAATATTAGTGTAGAAAATATATATGGGAGCTATATCTAAATCTGACCCGATAATCACGAAACTTAACACACATCATTCTAGACTCAATTCAGTACGCTATGCCAAATTTCCTGAAAATCGAGGGATATAAAGTTACTTTAGTGCACTATTTACCTAAAATCGGACAAAAATATGTTTAAAAATTATTTATTTATTATATTTACATTAACATTTTTAAAAATATTTTGTCATTATTTTTTCTTTAAATTTTTCTTCTAGAAATGCATGCTCTTTGGCCCTTTGGCACAACCACATTCCTCTCGCCAATGATACCAGCCAATGTGGCCCTACCATATGCTGCAATTGCAACTGGACCCTATGCCACGGCAACAGTACCCATTTTCCAGGGCACTCAACAGTGTAATATTGGTTCACCACTTTCTAGCTTTCCAAGCAGCTCCTCATCATCGGCAGCCGGCAGTCAACAAATTCAAATGCCACAACAACAACAACCAGAACGTAATTTAAATGCAGGAGGCACCAATAGTGGTCAAAATACATCTTTAAATGATTCCAATAAAATTAATATTCAAATTCAATGCGTCTCACAAAATTCCCCTATGAATTTAAATACGATTTATGATTCGGCAAATAAATTGAATTTGGGTAAATTTTGCTATTCAACCGCATGCCAGAAGGCCGGCGAGAAGGATAGTAAGGGTAAGATGGATTAAAAAATTATTAGAAATTGAAACGTATTGGGTTTAAGAAGATAATGAAAACTGAGCCTTATAATAGTCAGTTGTTATTGCACTAAATAAAAAAGAATTTTATTCAAGATGAAAGATGAAAACTGAACATGAAAATACTCAGTTGTCATTGTGTGATTGAAACCCAAACAATTCAATTCGTAAATTAAGGAAGGACATAAAAATACTAATATTTCCCTTTCTTTTAGATTCCAATGCTTCTTTATGCAATTCACCCATACCTTTGCATGCTGAGTAAGTAGTTTGAAATTATACTTTTTATAATGGAAAAAATTTCTTTCTCATATTTCAATTATCCACAGTGACAGCGCAGCTGGCGGAGATGCCTCCACGATGAATTTTATGCGAACGAATAGCTCTCAAGCCGCCGGCAATGAGGTTTATCTTTCTCAGGCCCGTTTCAACGATTTAAGACGTTTGGCCCTTAGAGGCAGTGACATTGCTGAAAATTTAGCTAAAACTCATCGAAATCGTCCATGTTTTAAGAAAATCGATAGTCTTTGTGCCCGTTTGAAGCAAGATCTAATACGTCCCGATGGTGTATTGCCCAATATTAATTCTCAAGGAATTGCATGGGCTGTCAAGGACTTTATATTCGTTTTTACGCGCATTATAAATGCATGGATAATAATTAAGGGTTATGTTTACAATACCCCCGAGGGTTTGAATAAAGTTAAGGCGGCTCTCAGTCCAGATTTTGCTTTAGCCTTTGCCGCATGGCAAGATACAACTATGGATTTCATTGAAAGTCTCATCAAATCATTTGTCAACTTGGATAACCTAGTGCAATCACAAAAGAATGCCTATCAAAAATCGGATATATCAACAAACGGTGGTGGTGGTGCTGGGGGTTGCCTAAATACCAGTAACTCCTCACCCATTAAACTTTTATCGACCACACCAAATATTTTACTGGATGACAACGCCTTGGATCAAAATGGCAATTACTTAAATAGAAATTATATTTATACAATGGTCGAAGACTCGGAAGATAGTCAACGTCAGGCCACAGTGAATGGCACCTATTTTAAAACTGGTACCTATAATCCAATTAAAAAAGATGAGCTACTTACCACGGAACCATTAGCGCCATTAATAGCCAATAATAATGGTGAGAATTTGATTCCATCCATAACTCAACTACCAGCTACAAATATTATCGCCTCGGATAGCATTGTACCATTTCAAAATTATTTTAATAATCAAATATTAGATTACTGCCCAAATTTAAATGGAAATTATCAGGCTACGGATACACCTTTGGCAACATTGGAATTTTTAAAGACCAAAGAAAATAATGGTTTAAATTATGATTTGCATGCATTTGAAGAAAATTTCACTGGAGTACACAGTCAAAATCAGATTGTGAATAATCCTCAAGTAAGCAAAACTAATGGCCAAGAATCAAAGGTACATAACCTCAAAGATTGTATTATGTCAATGCAAAATGCCGATATGTTTTTTAAATTTCAATTTACGAAAAATTATGTAAGTTTAATGTAATTCATATGACGAATTATAAATCAGGCTATTAACTGATATTTATTTTTAGAATAATATCTTTAATAATACAGTAACATCTCAGAAATTAGAAAGGTTCAAATTGGAAATTGTAACAAAATAAAGATGGATGGATTTGTATACCCTTCACCACACTGTGGTACAGGGTTTTATGTCTTTCGGCATATGTTTGTAACAGGCAAAAATAAACGAGAACGATCTATGGTTCTTTATGAGAATATGCATAGAAGCACTTTGAGTCGATTTATGCACTTCCGCCCATCTGTCTGTCTGCCCATGTTAAATTTGAAACAAAGTACAGGTAGCATTTATAAACCAAATGAGCTGTATTTTAGCACAGCTCATTTATTTGGCCCAAGGACGAACCCTATTGAAATTGGTGAATATTGTTTCAGAATTAGATATAGCTCCTATATATATTTTCGATTTTATGTAAATGGTACACAAAAGCCACTTTATTTCTTTTGATTTACACGAAATTGTACATAGCGTATCAAACTGAGTCTAGAATGATGTGTGCAAAGTTTCATGAAAATCGGTTAAGATTTAGATATAGCTCCCATATTGAAACAAAATTTGGCATAACGTATAGAAATAATTTCAGGATAGAGTGTTTAAAGTTTCATTGAAATCAGTTCAGATTTAGATATATCTTCCTCGTCTACAAACTAATATCTCCAATAGGCTATAATAGTTCTCTTGGCTTCTTTATATATTTTTTTTACAAATATAATACTTCTAAAATTCCAATGAATGGACGTATTCTAATTTCTAAGATTCTACTGCATATATAGTTTTGAAATTTATTTATAAATGTGTAAAAAATTTAAAATTTAGTTTCCAGATTTTATTAGCAAATATCAAAATGACTTAATGGATATACGCGCAATTATTTTAAAATGTGAAGACCCGAAAAATGGTTATCAAAATGTTACGGAAATTGTTAATGATGTTATGAAAATTATAAATACTGGTAAAGAATTTTTGAAGGTAAGCAACATATGTAGACATTTAGTATAACAATTTGAACAGTATATTATGTTAACAGTTAGAATGATAGAAATGCCACCTTTATTATTTTTAAGTCTATTGGAACCATTTTGTTCGAGAAATGAGCGGTGTTCAACATCAAGAGTCCACTGTGAACTAAAATTATTAATTTAAACTCGTTTTCTTCGAAATATTACTTTATAATCTGAAAACTCGAAGCTCCAAAAGGAATTCACCGTTAATCACATATTTTTATGGGCTTATCAGAATCTATCAGTTTTTTTTATTGATAATAGTGTATTTCTGATATTTACTTTCTTTTTTTTACACTTAGAATCTACTTAAAAATATATTAAGCCAACCCTATATACACATGTATACATATTTATGTCATACTCCATAAAGGTGTGTATGTATTAAATTTCTCATCCGGGTTCTTGAAGGTTAAATACCATTTCCGCGTTCCTTGGAGATAAAAATCCAAATACAACACTTCATAATTCTAGTCTTCTAAATGTAACGAATTTGAAATGGAATTAGAAGCAGATTCATTTATAAAACCTGTAATCGTTTAGTACCTTATAGATATGTCGGGTTATGACATTGTAAATTTTGATAATAATAATATGATAATTTGTTACCCAATGAGAATTCAAAATACTAAATTATAGCTGATTTGGTTACCGAATAATAGGGGATACTATTGTATTACCGAATAATGGGGTGGTACCATTATATTACCGAATAATGGGGGGATACAGGATTTATCGTAAGAAATTTAACCATCTTGAAGTTTTGTTAGAAAGCTGTGTCACCCAATGAACACTCAACGTACCAAATTATAGCCAATTTGATTGACTAAAACTCAAAATGGTCCAACATCTAGAGTAGACAGTTTTTTTATCTCTTTAAAAACTGGAGGCAGTTCCTCCTCCAGCTAGTTCACTATTAGAATAGAAGGTATAAGACCATAAACCATATGTACGAGATAAACGAGATTTTCTAATATTTTTCGTTAGTTCGATAATATAACACGTGGCAAGTTAAGCGAAAGCTTAACACAGCGCCATTTTGTATTTTTTTTAGCCCGTAGACGTGATTAACCCTGCGTCTTTCTTGTGAGCCGTCCGAAATTGGAGTAGACAGTTTTAATATACTCATAGAGCTTTTCGTATAAGGGATATTTTTATGCAATTCTCATTTTTCTGCAACATTTTCGAAAAAAAACTCTAAATAAACATTCGAAAATGGACAGAAAATATGATACTTTTCAGAAATTTAAATAAAAATCAAAATATGGGATAAATCTTTCTCTTCATTAAAGTTCTGCCTGACATTCATATATTTGTAATCTTTTTTATATCATTTCATCAATTCCCTTTTTAAAATTAGGTTCGTTTACTCAATAATTTGTAAAAATTCGTTTACCCAAAAGTCCAGTAAAAACGGGTGAATTGAGAGAGTAGATTTAAGAGGTGTGTTACTGAGTATTTGCAAATTCTTACAAGGAAAAATGTACTCAGTAAGAATTGTCTTGTACCATCAGCTGATATTTAATCAGCTGTTTTGTTATGTTTTGTAAACAAAAAACAAAAATTGTTCTCGAGCAAATTGATTTAATACTGAAATTTGTCGGTACCTTTATGTAGGGGACCTATAGTGAATAATTTTCTCGTTGAAATAGCTATAATTTGACATATCGGTTTCCTGGTAAAAAAAACATATTTTCAGAAACTATTCATTATACCTGAGTTAACAGAAATATCCCGTTTAATTCTTAGTACGTGGAAATTCCTTCCCCAGTTATTTTTCGGTAGGGGTTTAAGACTTAAAAAATCGAAATTGTTTAATAAATGATATACTATTTAAATTTTTAAGTATTTTATCATTATTACTTCTCAATAGAAACATTTTTTTACGATTTCTATCATTCCACTACATTAATTTTCAGTGATCTTTTAGAGCTTCAACGAGTTAAGTAGTTGGTAGTTAGTAATCATTTCTTTGGATAAATTTGTGTTGTGTTGTTATTGTGGCGGAATTCGATATTCTGATAGCGTATTTTGTTGTATGATCTACTCAAAAAAAAAAAACATATGTTGTAATAAAGATTAGGGTTTTATATGGAATATGAAATTAAATAGAATAGAGTTTGAAAATTATTTAATATTAAAATAGATAAATAATTGAGATCAAATAAGGAGTAACGCTTTTTTTATTATAGATAAACCCAAGAGGGATTTATATGGAATATGATTGGGAACTTAAATAGAGTTTTGAAAATGATTTAATATTAAACTATATAAATAATTGAGATAAAATAGTGAGATACGTTTATGTTTATTATAGATAAACCTAAGAAGCACATAAAAACCTAACTATCTACAAAATATTAATTCTGAAGACCTTATTATTGATTATGATCAGAGTTTAGAGTTGATTCCTTGATGGTTTTTTAAAGGAGTAACAAATATATATGATTTTTATATTGGTTCCCTTTGGGTGAATGAGTTAGGGACAATTTAATTTCATAAAAAAGGAAGTTTATTTTTTACATATATTTTTATTATAGAAAACCTAATTGGAATAAAGGCCTACAAATATAAATTCTGTAGACCTTATTATTGCTTATGATCAGAGTCTGTAGATGATTCTTGGTGCTTTTTTTAAAGGAGTAAATGATGCCATTTTTTTCCTTGCCCTTGAGTTAAGAGTTATGAGAGAGAGAATGAGAGATTTGGGGACAATTTAATTTCTTAAAAATTGGTGTTCATTATATCGATATAAATTAGAAATATATTCTTCACTGATAGTAATATAATTTAATGAAAATCTGTGTCCATCCATAATGAAACTTAGGGGATATGTTCTGAGGTTATGATCGATCCCTTTTGTTCAGGGGAAAATTACCTCAAATATTTTGTTTATTTATAAAAAAAATCAGATATCGCGAAAATGTATTTGCATTTCTTTAGCGAAGTAATATCCAAAACCAGTTGCGTTGACATCATTGTTAATATTTGTGGCTAAAAAACAAAAATAACAATTAAGAGGCGTTGAGGCGTTGGCATATTTTTTCATCCACACTCCGTTATTGATCGATTGGTGGTCTACTAAAGATTAAATTAAAACGAAATAATACGAAAAGTTATTAACAAATAAATATATCTATTCCTATACATAAGATTCTTATACGAATTTATCTTGCTAAAAAAGAAACACGGAGTTAAAAAGTGATATCTGAAAATATCTTATTGGGCATCGGAATAAAAAATGTTGCAACTTGTAATTGAAAACGAATAAAAAAACAGAATTTGCAATTGAAACTGGATTACCAACAACATACCATAAAGAAAAAATAAAACCAATCGAATCGACAAACCAACCAATCGACCACAATAGCCAACCAGGGCCATCATTGACGACTAGTAAAGATCAGTTTCAAGCTTCCACGGCGACGGCTAGATGAACAACCAATCGCAATTACAAACAAACATACGTGCAAACATATATGTATGTAGCCAACATCAAGCTGATGTGTAAGATGCGTGTGCCCTAATAACTTTTGAAAAAAAAGAAGTTTAAAAAAAAAATTACAACAAAGAAGAAAATATTGAGTGTGTGATAATTACCATAATTTCAATAATTTTCAAATAGATAATTACAATGGCTACCTTTGCAGATTGTTAGGTCCAGCGTATAAGTTGTTAAATTGTATAGCAGAAATAGAAAAAAATTATTTGAAGATCGAACATCCGCCCCCCAAAAGAAAGCAGTGAAATATGCATCACCATCATCCCCATCCCCCAGCTGTTGCTGCACCCGGAGCAACAACAACAACATCGAAGTCTTCAACAAATTCCAATACACCGGCCGTAGGTGCAACAACAACATCATTAGCCATACCATTACAACAAGCTGCAAGTACCACAACCAGCAGTACACAACCTCCGCCACCACAACAACAACAGCCACCCACTCATCGCCGACGTAAGAAACGTCCCAATTATGGCACCCGAACCGTTGAGGTGCGACGTGGTTATAATGGTTTTGGTTTTACCATATCCGGCCAACAGCCATGTCGTTTGTCATGCATTATTGCAAATTCACCAGCCGATCAGGCGGGTCTACGTGCTGGAGATTTTCTCATCTCCGTAAATGGTTTGAATGTCTCCAAATTGCCGCATGAGACAGTGGTACAATTGATTGGAAATTCTTTTGGTAGTATTCGCATGCAAATTGCCGAACATTATTATTCGGATAGTACGGATGAAGAGAATGCAGTGGCGGCTGGTGTTATGCCAACAATGCCCCATATGGGACCCTCTCGACCACGTTATATCTATCATAAGACGAAACAACAAAGGCTGCGGCATCAATTGCCACAGACAAAGAAATATTTTGATTCTTCGAGTGTAGCAGTGCCGTCGTCGTCTAGGACCAGCAACACTACTGGCCAGCCGTTGAAAAAATTGCCTCAACCTTTGATGAAATCAATTTCTATGGATGCTGCTGCGGCCAGCAAACGTTTCGTAAATGAGAAATTGGTTACTTCGGAGGAGTTAGCACCTCCTGCTGCTGCTGGTGGTGGCTCTCAATCCCACTTGCAACATCAACAACAACAGGCTGCCGCAAATTTCCGAGCCTTAGTTATGCGTGGACCCACCAGTGCCGCCCTGGAGTATCGCGCCATTGTTGGCTATTTGGGTACCATTGAAATGCCCAAACAAATTGCCAACAGCAGTAAACTGCAAACCGTACGATCCTGCATACGCAAGCTGAGGCAAGAAAAACGCCAACCCACAGTCGTCCTGATGATTATATTACCCGATTGCCTGAAACTGCAAGCCAATAATGGTAAAATCTTGGCCACATATCCCTCGGCCCGTTTAAATTATGTTAGCTCTTCGTCGGAAAGTGAAAATCGGTTCTTTGGTTTGGTTACCAGTGCTGTCTATAGTCCTCAGCTGGATGATGTTGATGATGATGACGAGGAAGAAGGGGATCCGGAAGAGCTGCAGGGTGAAAGGAGCAGAAATCACAATGGTGACAATGCTGCAGATGAACAACAAAATTCCCGAAGACCACCGGCACCACCAAACCTAACCACTTCGTCAAGTGTCGACAGTAATGTCATCATCTCGAATTCGTGTCATGTCTTTGTGGTCGATACCAAACTCTGTGAACATCAACAACACTTAGCCAAAGCCCAAGAATTTTGCATAGAATGTACCAAAGATCCCATATCGAATTTATGTCTAGAATTTCCCAATAATTCGGAATATGTGGTAAATTTAATACGCAGCATGTACACCATGCGTATTGTACCGCCCATAACACAGCGATCCATATCCGATGATCCCACAATGCATGGTGGTGGCGCAGGGCGTAATGATAATATTGCCCACTCCCCGCAGCCGAGTAATCACAGTGAGGTATCGACAACAACATCGAATTCTGATTCTGGCATTGGTTACAATAATGATTGTTCCAATGTAACGGATCGCATAGTTTTGGTGGATTTTTCACTGCACAATGCAGGAGCTCGAGGTGGTGGTGGTGTGAGAGCCCCATCTGGTGGTGGAGGAGCTGCCGCAGGCAATCATAATGTAATTATTTCACCCAAACGGCCACAAAATATTTGTGAACAAAATATAAATTCCGATGAGATACCCTCCAGCAGCAAGCATCACATTCCAAACCCACATCGAATGGTTGCCACAGAATCTAAAATTAACTACAATAGTCCGGGGCGATCATTAATGGTATCCCGTTCCTGTGATGATGTTTTGAATTTAATTGAACAAGAACCCGATGCGGATGATGGACACAATTTAGATCCACTAACATCGGTGGTGCCATTTCAACAATGTTATGCCTCAATGGATGATATATCCCTGCATACAGCCTCCATGGAAAATGAGGATAAAATTGTGATAAGCAGATCTACGAAGCCTGATAACGTAAATCCCCTTCATATAACTCTAACAAAAGCTGATAATGAGAAGAATTCGAGACATTCTAATGAAGGTAGAAGGAAATCCCTGAATCTAAAAATTCCCAACTCAAATAGTTTACAAAATCTAACAGATATCAGTGATACGACCACCTCTCCCCTAAATACAACAACAAGTAAACTAGCAAGTACACCCGATTTATCGCGAACAGATTTTCCCGATGGTTTATCCACCTTTGAAAGAGGTTGGATACAAAGCTCTTTGCGGACACCTCGGGCAGATAAACACACCATACATTTGTCAGCACCAAATCCCGAGGACGATGATAGCCAAGACCAGTTGGATTTACAAAAACACTATAAAAGTCCCAGCCTCAGTAGATCGGCCTCAATGAACAACGGTGAACGTAGCTCGTTTAAGAAAAAACTAAGCGATTCTAAGAGCAACGTAAAGAAGGGTCCCACTTCCTGGGGTACATCTATTGAAATACTGCTTGCCGATCCAGCGGGGCTGAAGACCTTTGCCGAATTTCTAAAACTTGAATATGCTGCTGAAAATATTTATTTTTGGACAGCCTGTGAACGCTATCGCCATATCGAATCGGAAACGGAACGGCGTGATCAGGCGCTGGAAATTTTCAAAAAACATTTGTCCAGTGGTTCAATGGAACCGGTCAATGTGGATTCACAGGCTCGCGGTTTGGTGGAACGTAATTTACCCCTAGCCGGACCGGACTTGTTTCATCCGGCGCAAAAACAAATTTTTAATTTAATGAAATTCGATAGCTATCAACGTTTCCTGCGTTCGGAACTATACAAACAATGTCTGCAAGCCGAGAAGAAGGGTAAATCATTACCCTATTCGGGTGATAACTTGGATGATCTGCTCAAGACGACAAATTTTTCAGAAAGTGCCTCATTAAAGTTAAAGAAATCGGCAAGCAACGCCGAAGAGGGGCGCCCACGTAGAAGTCTATTGCCATGGCATCGCAAAACTAGGAGTAAATCACGTGATCAGATAGCCCAGGATAATAACAAGGAATCATCGAATTCAAAATCTCAAAGCTCCCATGGGCTTAAGCCGAATGCCATACATGGTTCTGCTTCGTCGCTGACATCCTTTGATGCCTTGACATTTAACAATAACATGGCCCCCAATGATTTGTGTCGTATCAAATTTCCAGATGGTGCTACTACCATGGTACAGCTGAAGACGCAGGAAACGGTGGCCGAATTGGTGGAACGTCTAATGGAAAAACGTAGTATACGCTATCAGTTTTTCGATGTGACCATTAAAGGGCCACCCAGCAAATCAGTGGATCTGAAATCTCTGGCCAAAGAGTTGGCCAACAAAGAGGTGGAAATCGAACAACGAGTTGCTTTCAAACTGGATCTACCCATACCAAAGGTTATATCGGTGAAAAGTAAACCCCGGAAACAACTGTATGAAGTGGTGCGACCCATACTACAAAGATATCACATAAATCCGGAACTGGTGGAGGTGTTAATGCGTGATAGCCAAACAAAGGTGGATCTGACACAATTGGTGACGTCCGTCAATGAACAACGTCTCCAGGTGGTTTATAAAAAAGAGATGGCATATCATCGTAAGGCTCCCACCATAACGAAAAATTCAATAGCCGAGGGTCTGCAGAGCACACAGACCACATTGGATGCAATTACCAATAAGGTTTTCAGTGATCTAATGCAAGTCAAACAGAGTCAGGAGGAGGCTGGCGGTGGGGCAGCAATGAAACCCAAATTCGATCAATGCTCAACAAAATCCGAAGAATGCCCCTCGGAAAGTTCATCGTCATTCTTTAAGATACGTAAACACAAAAGAGATTCAATGAATAACAATGCGGTAGCAGTTTCAGGAACAGCATCCGCGGCAGCAGGAGCATCGCGTAACAATAAAACATCGAAAAAGTTGAACATTCTACCATCATCACAATTGGTTGGTGAAAATAAAATCATTCCGAATAAATTAATAAAAACGGGAATAAAGCTTCCGCTACCCTTAAAAGGGGTTGATAAACAAGATGATCTACTGGAAGATTTAAAACGGGCTCAATTGGCCCGCTTGGAAGATCAACGGGGCACGGAAATAAATTTTGAATTACCGGAATTTCTGAAAAACAACGATACCACGACGAATCAACTAAACAAATCGAATAATAGTGGAGAAAATGTGAACTCGAATGAAGAACAAAAACCAGAAACACCAATTGAGAGGCCACCACAGCCGGCACCTCGACATTCCATTAGTAATAAGTCGAAAACAATTACCACACCCACATCTCCCATAAAAACCGGTGGCGATTCAGCAATTGATAACAAATCAGAACAATTGGATAATTTTAATACTCCCGCAAAGGGTCCACCACCTTTACCACCCAAACCGAAAGTTCTGCCCATAAAACCCTCAAATTGGGGTGTCAACATTGCCCAACTCAAGCAAATGTCGCCGACAACACCACCACCACCTCTCCAACCATCGCCCACACCCTCCATCGCATCACCCCAATTGACAAATGTAAATGTTGTTGCTGTTCCCGCCACTTCATCAAATTCCAGTCCAAATGGTCGTTGCGCCTATTTGGATCAACCTAGTAGTAGTTTTGTTTAAACAACAACAACAATTGTTTTGTCCATTCCGTCGTAATGTATTTTTAATTATTTTAACTCCTCAATGACTTTTTTGTATACATTAAATTAAATGTATTTTTGTATATTTATATATTAAAAAGAAAAAAATATATAGATATATATTATTTAAATACATTTATTTATATATCCAATTTTATAATAATCACATGGGAAAAGAAAAAAAGACTTAAATAAATAACAAATTATATTGAAATGTTGTGGATGTGATGTTTTAATATGGGAAGAGTCTTCATAAGATCTTTGGGTTTCCTATAAAAAGAATATTGGGTATTCTAAAAAGAAGGCATCTAGGTCTTCTATAAGAATACTTCTTGGGCTTCTATAAGAACATTTTTTGGCCATCTATTCTTGGACATCGACATAGACGTATCTAGCTGCAGCGACAACGCTGCCTGCTATGCATGCTCAAAAGGCATATAAAAGCGACCCATCGCATTTATGATCCGAATTGAATGAAATTTAACTCATTTATTCAGCCCAAGGACGAACCCCATTCAAATTGGGAAAAATTGGTTCAGATTTAGAAATATATCCCATATATATTTTCGTCCGATTTATGGTAAATGGTAAAATGGTTATGGTAAATTTGGCACGGCATACTGAATTGATCCTAGAATGATGTGTGCTAAGTTTCGTAAAAATCGGTTCAGATTTAGATATAGCTCACATATATATTTTCGTCCGATTTAATGTAAATGGTGCACCGAAGACCCTATATGTTCTTCGATTTGCACGAAATTTGGCATAGCGTACTGAATTAAGTCTAGAATGATGTGTGCTATGTTTGGTGAAGATCCGCTCAGATTTAGATATAGCTCCCAATACATTTTCGTCCGATTTTACATAAATGGTGCACCAAACTTCTAATGTTTAATTTTGCACAACGTATAAAATTGAGACTTGATTGACGTCATTGGGTTTTGTTGAAATTGGTACAGATGCATTTGTACAATATACCCATACTGGTGAAGAGTATCATATAGTCGGCCCAGTCCGACTTTACTACTTTCCTTACTGGTATAAACTCGGCTTATGGAACTAACGTTCTGTCGCAAGACAGCTAAGAAAGTATAACAAGACCTTTTAAGCCTTCTATAAGAAGACCTTTTAAGTCTTCTATAGGAAGACTTTTGAAGTCATCTACATAAGAAGACCATTTCGTCTTCAATAAGAACACCTTTTTGGACATCTATAAGAAGACCTTTTGGTATTTAAAAAAAAAAAAATCGGTCTGATATGAAAACCCATTTTGGTATTCTATGTGACGACCTATTGGTTATCTATGAAACGACCTATAGGTCATCTATAAGAAGACCTTATGGACATCTGTGAGAAGACCTAGTGATCTTATTTTCAATAGCATACTCGAGTTTTAGAAATTCATGCAAGTAGTATTTCAGTGGATGTACTGCAGAAAGTGAGACCCTTTTTCGTATTGGTTTTAGAATCGGTTCGTTTTTTTTTTCTTAATCGATCTACGATCACTGTTGTTTATTGAGGCAGCATCCATTGAAATTGATTTCATCAAAAGTTGAGGCAATTTTTTTAATGGCTGGCCAGTAGAGCTTGGCCTAGACGACGGCACTGCTACAATCGAAGAGTCATGCTTGTTTGTGGCAATTGGTGCCGCAGCCTTTGTTGCTTTGACTTATGATAAATATAACGAGAGGAATTGTTGACATACCACCACCTCCGCCAGCAGCCACTGTATTCTCTTCATCCGTACTATCCGAATAATGTTCGGAAATTTGCATGCGAATACTACCGAAAGAATTCCGAATCAATTGTACCACTTCCGAATCAAACCATTTACGGAGATTAGAAAACATCCAGCACGTAGACCCGCCTGATCGGCTGGTGAATTTGCAATAATGCATGACAAACGACATGGCTGTTGGCCGGATATGGTAAAACCAAAACCATTATAACCATGTCTCACCTCGGCGATTCGGGTGCCAAAATTGGTCGTTTCATACGTGTACGTTGAATTGGAGGCAGTTGCCGCTGTGTGTACTGTTAGCCTACATATTAGAGAGTGGATATAATATTGAAGTCCTTGACCCTATGTGTTAGGTCGCTACATCAAATAATGGAATTATAATAATAAACATGTTTTTAAAGTACAATGGTTCTGAACCTCTCCAACAGAATAGACGCTAAGATATCATTAAGATAATACATTGTTAGTTTTAAGCTTTTGGAGTAGTTTATGTTTTGTTGTTCTTTGAATCGCTTTTGGCCTTTGGGCTAGATTCTCGTTCATGAAATAAATTGAATTGAATTAAATTAAATTAGTAGAGCTCTGAAATTTACGTCAGGTTACGTTGATTATGAGTTGGGCAATACATTCAAAAGCCCACCACAATATCCACTTCGACGGAATTTTGTACCCCCATAAAATAATTTCTAAAAAAAATAAAAACTCATATTTTTCTTAATTTTTAAGAAAATCAACATTGTATTCCTTCCAATCCCACAGACGTGGCTTTAATTTAGCATTGCGGATTCCTGGTGAATCAAATATCTTCAGTCCCTATATATCGGAATATTACCTAATTTGTTATGCCTTCTTTTATGTTTACCCTAATATTTTTATTTTCCTTATCTTTTTTGTTTTCATCTCATCTCATTAGACTAAAAACGATGACAAATTTGAAAAAGCAATTAATAAATTTGAAGCAGAATTTAATAAAATAATTTCTGAACAGAAATTCTAAAATAATTCACACACACAGATTCAATGGAAAATCAAGCAAGTATTATTAGCATTAAGATGTTGATAAATTTTCAATAATTATTAGGGCTTAATTATTTTTATATATTTTACAATTTAAAAATTTAAAAAATCATAATAAATTGTTTTAATTTTTATATATATTTTAACGTTATAAACATTTATTGCCACAAGTTTTTATTAATAAAAATACAAATTATTTTACAAAACAAATAATTTTACAAATACAAATAATTTTTTAAATGAAATTATTTTCTAAACCATCAAACAAATTTAAGTTCTCCAAAAATTATATATCAAATTAAAGTTTTATTAATTAAATAATTTATTAATAACAATGCATTCGAATATAATCACATTACATATTTTTAAAGTTAATTTAAAATTGAAGTAACCTCAACAATTCTATATCAAATTAAAGTTGTATGTTCATTTTGAAAAATATCCACTGTATGTTAATTTTTTTAAATTATAAGTTATGAAGTAGTTTTTAAGTGCTAATTATAAAATACAAAATTTATACAATGGTTTGTTAAAAACAATGTATTTGGATTACAAAACAAAAAATCTCTCACTTATTAATGTTGTTAATCGTATGTCTATAAACTTGTGTTAATGTTTATGTTCTAAAAGCAATTAAATATTCAGTTTAGAATTTAAAAAATATTTTTAATTTGTAATTGTTGTGGAATTGAATTCATAGACTACATACTTAAAAAATATATTTTAATTTTTGTTCAATTCGAAAATTATTTGGCTGTTTTTTTCCTATAAAAAATGTTGTTTAAGTTTTCTAGTTTACTATAAGAATCTACTGGATTATATCGATCCGATGTGGTGCTGTTTGGAATATATTCGTCGTTGGAATGTACAGTCTACCTTGAAGGACGACTCCTTAAAACCTTACGAAGCAACGTGCCTACCAGTGTTTAAATGTTTGCAATCAGATACCTGGGCGCCTCAGTATAATATTAATAATAGTACCAAGTCCTTGAATACATTATATACTCCAGTTCTCGATGACATATGGATGCTAAATCCCTTTAATGAAAATCAAAAAAAAAACAGAAGTTTAGGCTTCAGCACAAGTAGGTATACTAAAGCCCTGTGTACAATTCTTGTCTTCTTTTCTAGACAGAATGAGTCCCTCTTTGTACTGATCCAGGGAAGTATTCCAGTTTATATATAGGACAATACCCAACCCAATGAAAGGCGAGGATGATAACTGTAATATGGACGTAATCGGAGTGTCAGACAGGGATGCAAATGGCAAAAGTTCGAAATACAAATAAGGGTATGACAAAAGAAGGACGATATTATATTGCCTACGAATGTTGATAATAATCCTAGTTCATAAACGAATTGGTATTCTTACACCTTAAGGAAGCAAAAAAAGAATAATGCAATAACGACTCAAGGGTACTATTACAATTCCCACTTCGTATACAGTTGGTATCCCTGTCTAAACCTCTACCAATGTGAAGACTAAGTCAGTACACTATTCAAAATTTCGTGTAAATCGAAAGATATACAGGGACTTTGGTGTACCATTTACATTAAATCAGACGAAAATATATATGGGAGCTATATCTAACTTAACACATATCATTGTAGACTTATTTCAAACCGATTTTTTCCAATTTCAATAGGGTTCGTCCTTGAGCCAATTCGGATCGTAAATGCGACCTGTATTTTGTTTACAATTTAACATGGAAAGACAGTCAGACGGACATGCATAAATCGACCCAGAAAGTGATTCTATGCGTATTCTCGAATGGAACCATGTGTCTATCTCGTTTCCTTTTGTCTGTTACAAACATATGCACAAAGACATAATACCCTGTACCACAGTGTAGTGAAGGGCATAAAGATGAGATCGAATGAGAACCACGTATGAATCAAGTGGTAATGCTACACATGAAATAAACCACCAAACAAGAAGATTAATAACGATGAGCGTATCATCAATTCTTATTGCCTTGTTGTGTATCTTCTCGGCCGACCATCGAAGTTTACAGTTTGGTGGGATAAACCTATTTAAGGGGTTCACGGTTAAAAACTGCGGGAATAAGGTATTTAACGACGTCCGCAGTAAATAAACTCAACCCCTATTAAGAAGCCAGTCAAGAAATTACGCATGGTATGGTCACCTCTGTGTAATTTCCACATCTTCAGTAACTTTACAGTCTCCAAGACCGCTAACGAGAACAAGCTAAGAAAAATAATTAAAAAACATTTTTTACATAAAGTTTTGGTCGTAATTCGTTGGAATTGGTTCGATTCGAATTTTACAGAAACAGGACGTAAATTGGATTCTCCCCGTGTGGTTGGACTCGTGACAACGAAAACATCTCAGTATATCTTCCATACCAGAAGTCTGACACATCACGTATTTTATTACGTAAGTTGGTCGAGGATGTGGGAACGCAAGCATACTAATCCTACGATGTAATGCGAACTGAGGAAGCAGTGATACGAACTTCAGAGGTGAGTCGGTTTTCTATTTCATTCTAAACAATTATCTCTCCAAAAGCAATAATGTAATATTTTTGTAAGTAGATGAAGGATTGATGTCATAGACATCATTCTTACACTTGTGAACAGCGACGAAGTTTTAAATTGGGTTGTTTCTTAAGAATGTTCTTTTTCGGATCGCAAGATGATATCGTTTACATTTTTATACCCTACACAACTATGTTGTTAGGGTATTATAGCTTTGTGCAGCCCCAAGAGTTTGTATCGCCGCGAAATATTGGTCCTAGACCCACCTTTAAGTATACCGATCGTCATATCTCGACTAGCTGAGTCGATCTAGACATGTTTGTCCGTCCGTCCTTCCGTCTGTCCATTATAATTTGTAAACACGTTACAGGCCACAGTTATGGACCAATCTTTACGAAATTTTGCAAGTAGGATGGGTTCTGGCCAATGAAGACCCCTATTGTTTTTGGAAAAGATCGGTTAATATTTAGGGGATGAAATGGACCAAAAACTTTATTTTTGTCGGTTTTTTTGGTCGCTGCAGAGGCCGCAATTATGGCCCAAACACCGCGAATTTTTGCATGGAGAAGGGGATCGGGCCAACGAATAAGCATGCCTGTTTTGATAAGGATCGGTCAATATTTGGCGGGTCAAATGGACCCTGACTTTTGTGTGAAAAATTACAAAATTTGTATTCTATAGCGTATATATTTACTCCTGAAGGACATAGGCGCGAGGAGTTGATAGTATATTCAAGAGGAGTGGTTGGCCTTTAAATTGATACCAATTATATGTGGGAGTTACACTTAAATATTTACAGATGCTTACTTATTCAGATATTATTTAGTAACCCATTACCCCACTGGAGGGCGCAAATATAGCGCTGAGGTTCCAGTTATGGTCAAGGTCAACGCCTATAATTTTCGGCGATGATCAGATAATAATTTTGGGATGAAGTGGACCGAAAACTTAATTTTTTTGTGTGTTTTTCGAGTCGATCAATTGCCAAAAGCCGAACATCACAACACAACCCACTGTGAAGGGAACCTGTATAAGTAATTAGAAGGGCCGTACTGAATATTGGAAATATTCGGAAAATATGTCAGTGTAAGGAAGAGATGCTGTTGACCTCTAATCAGGCAAGAGAGTGCAGCTATTACGAAATATTGCCCAGGCTCGTAATAAAACTCCGCAGAAAGTTAGAGTTACGTGGTAGTTGTGTAGGGTATCGTATGGTCGGCCCCGTCCGACTATACTGCACCGCTAACTGGTTTCTAATATCTTTTCCAGATTTACTTCTCCCCTCTACCAACATTAATGTCGCTCTGCTCATGAGCCCTATATTTATAAAAATAAGGTGTTAAATTGAGCAAGTTCATTGTCGGGGATTAGTGTTCTGTAAGAGCCCTTTTTGGCCTTCTATTAGAAGACCTTTTTGCCTCCTTTAAAAAGAATACCTTTTGGCCTTATACTAGAGGACGTTTCGGACTTTTTAGAGTGGCTGGAGCAACTCGGAATCATAATCGTTGCCGTTTATAAGTATCCATGTTTGTATTCATTAAGAAGGTCGTTTGACCTTCTAAAAGAGAGTTTTTTGATATTCTTAGAAAGGCAAACTAGAGCAAGTGCAAGACGTAATCATTATTAGTCATCGTCTTCATTAACCCTTTGAGCCCCGAATTTTTTTCCGCAGTATTAGAACAAATTTATGTTCACAGATTTAATGCAACTATCCTATATAGGATATGAACAAAATTTGATATTGTTACATCCTTGCATTCGGGAGATATAGTATTCTTTCGGAAAAATTAAAGTCCAATATCAAGAAAACCAAATGCAACATCGACAGAAAAATCATTTTAAATTATTCTCTATATTCATTTTTACAGGAAACAAAAATAATTCTAATGACAGAATTCGTAAACTTTGAATACGAAGCGATTTAAATTATTTGGACTGTATACACAAATTAGTACTGTACACAAATTTACCTTCTTCTCTATATTGAAAAGCTCATAACTTTACCAAAATGTTGAATTTTTTTGATTTTTCTTTTGATATGTGTCGTCCATAATCAGGTCTTGACATATGAAATCCAAATAATATATATCTACTAGCTGCATATATAATATAAGCTCTAAAACATTTTGTTGCCTGTGGGCAACATTGGGCCACAAAGGGTTAAGAAGACATTTTGGTCCTTTAAAGAAAGACAGATTTGAAAAAAATAAATAAATTGATAGACTATACAAAGATGGTCTTGGTTTGGATATATTAAAAATTAATTTTTCAAAGGCTAGCCAAGACGTGTCTATAAAATAAGAACAAAACAAATAAAAGGTTTTATTTTTTTCTGGTCTATTATTTTTTAATTAAGATTTCCATTTATTTAAAAAAGAAACAAACATTTCTAAATTTAAATATTTTATTATTGTGTATTAATAATTAGATATTCCTAAAACAAAACATAGCATTTTCATTATTTTAAAATAACTACAAATGTTGTAATTTGATTATATACATTGTTTCCTTTATAAATTTGTTTTTTCATTTAACAATTAAAAATATTTTTCTCTAATGTTTTTTGGGGACAGTATTAAATGTGATAACATAAATAAAACATACATATATTGATATATATTATATTATATTATATTATTAAAAAAAATTAAATAAAAATTAAATTTTAAAATTACAAATAAAAAGTCTTACAATTTCCCCACTCAATTATCACTTTGACAAAATTGTTGCTTGTCAATGTGTTGAGCCTGCAGCATACTATAAAACAAGGAATTACTATCTTGGGCCAATGCCTGAGGTGTACCCTGCTCCCGTATCTGACCCTGATCGACGACAATAATACGATCCATATTGTGTAGACCCTGCAAACGATGTGCTATGAAAATAATTGTAGAACTTTTAAAGGATGTCTTTATGGCTTGATGCATTGCAAATTCCGAATCTTCATCTAAATTTGAGGTACCCTCATCGATACAAACAACTTTGGAATTTTTCAACAGGGCTCGGGCTAAACAAAGTAATTGTTTTTGTCCCGCGGAGAGATTGATACCACCTCTCTCTAATTTACCATCTAAACCGCCCATGGATTGTACCAAACAAGTGACAGCATTACAATTTGTTATGGCATGCCATATTTCGGAATCGTAATGAGCTCCACGAGGATCAAGATTTTCTCGTACCGTACCCTCGAAAAGGAAGGGTTCCTGGGGAATGATGCCAATACGATCGCGTAGAGTGAAGAGAGATAAGGTTTTCAAATTAACACAATCTAAGAGAATTTCTCCCCTTGTTATGGGTGCCACACGCATCAGGGCAGCCAGTATTGAAGATTTTCCCGCCCCCGTACGCCCAACTATTGCCAAACGTTCAAAGGCCTCTGTTTTAAAGTTGATGTCATGCAGCGCCGGCGTTAAATGCTCCCTATAGCGGAGCTCAACTTTACGAAAATCGATTGAACCTTGAGCAGGCCAACCAAATGGTGGATTCACGCTACCATCGGCATTATCTTCTCCTTCAATTTGTAAATATTGTTCGATACGTTCGACAGCCACTAATTCTTGTTCTGTCTCAGCAACAGCATTTAGTACACCACCCAAAATGTGGGTTACACTGAGAGCATATGAGATGGCCAAACCCACTAGACCCGGATTACTTGCATGGGCGGAAGTCACAGCTGCCAAAATGCCGGCTCCACCAACCAATACCGCACCCAATAACTGTAAACGCATGCTAAGCCAATTTTGTGCTGCCGAAGATGTTAACTGGGCCTTGATGCTCTCTTCCAATTTGGCGTGAAAATCTCGCTGAAACCTTGAACTGGCACGCATTGTTCGAATGGTGTTTAAACCTTGCAGAGTTTCGGTGAAATGGGTGTAAAGCGGTGACAGAGCGTTACTAGACAGCCTTTTAATATCACGCGATGCATGACGATACCGATGCTGTAAGCTAAGATATATCGGTACCATGGGTACAATAACTAGACCCAACCAAGGCATGGCATAAAGACTGATAACTATGGCGCCGATCAGACCCACAACTTGGGCAAGTAAAATATTTAAAATAAATGGCAATGAATCGTCGACGGTGTATGTGTCCGAGGAAAAACGATTCAAAATACGTCCCACCGATGTGATGTCGAAGAAACTGAATTTGGCCTGAAGTGAGACAGAAAGAGAGAAAAAAGAAAATGTGTTTATGAAATTTTGTTTTTTTTTAATCCAAGCTTAAAATATTTTTTGAATCCATTTTTAGAAAAAAAACATTTTTTTATTATATACCAAAATAAATTCTTTGGAAACATTATACTTACATACATAACTTTGTGTAGCAATTTATCGTGAATAAATTTCGCCGCCTTTAAACCAGCATAGGCAAACAAAAAAGATCTTGCCATTGTTACCAAAGAATTGGTAATGGTCAAGGAAGCATATACACCCAAATAATAACCCGTGGTATGTGTTTCCGTATTATCCGAATCATTTGAAAACAATTGTACAGGCTTAATAACATGCAGCAATAGATTTGTATCATTCGCTGTATCATTCGAATTGCCATCCAGTGTGGTATCCGTTACCCAATGGGCCAACCAGGCATCGGATAAATTTCTTGTTATTTGCATAAATACCACTGAGAATAAAACTAAAATTGCCAAGGGTGATGAAACTGCTTTCCAATAGCAGGCGAAGACATTCATTGCCAGATGGCCATATTCTCGGGATTCCTGGATTTGTAAAGGAGACATTAATAAATTGGTTTATTGTATAGTATTTTTGTATCGCAAATTTACCTCCAACATTATACTATCTACACTATTATTGTCACCATCTTTTTGCAGTTCATCCAAATTTATCGATGCCCGCCGTTTTTCCATCATATCAGCCTCATCATTTGAGTCCTCTAAACTCAAGTCAATGCTCTCGGTCATGTATTCGCTCATTGTCAACTTACCATTTTCTAAATGTAGAATCTAAAAAAAATTGGGAAATACAATTAATTTCAATTTTTTTAAAGAATAAAATCGTATTGCCTCCTCACCTGATTGGCATGATAAAATAGCGTAGTATTTCGTGTTATAATTATTCGCGTTTTATCTTTTAATAAATTTAAAACACAATGTTTAACAATATGTTTGGCTACATGGGCATCTAGGGATGCCAAAATGTCATCCAATAAGTAAACTGTAAAAACGGAAAGAAAAAGAAACCATTTTATTCCAATGAACTCAATTAAAAAGAAGTAGTCCATATTTCATACACTTTTTATCCTGATAAACAGCTCTGGCTAAGGCCACCCGGGCCCGTTGTCCACCCGACAGGGTGCGACCATTTTCTCCAATACCCACCAAATCACCACCGAGCGCTGTGATATCCTCATTTAAGGCACATGCAAATAATACTGATTTGTACCATTGTTCATCGAACACCCCACCCCAAATAATATTGTCACGTATCGTGCCACGTTGAAGCCATGGGGTTTGGGGTACATAACCAAAACCTTTTAGAGGAAAATAATAAAATAATTTTTATTCAAAATTTTCAGTTGAAAATGTTTACATACCCGATGTCAAATCATGTATACAAATTGAACCTTCAATACAGTTAATACCAGCCACAATGGCGGCTATTAGACTGCTTTTACCCGAACCCACGGGGCCTTCAATGCAAACAAGTTCACCCTGTAATAGAAAAAAATCAAATATTATAAAAATGAAATAAAAAATAGAAAAAAAATATTTTAAATAATTAAAATATTTATGTTATTTTTTAAGTATTTAAAAAATCTATATTATTAAAAAATGTATTTTGAAAAAAATATATTTTTGTTAATTTGTAAAAAAATTATATTTGCACGAAAATACAAAATAGTATATATATCTGAATTTAAAAAAGTTTAACATTTTTTAAATTTATGTCAATTTTTTTAATCGATTTTTAGAAAAAATAAAAAAAAGATTATCGATACCAATAAATGAGTAAAGTGATTTACTGACTGTCTTTACGATTCATCAACGCCCAGACGAAACGGATGAAGCTAGAATCTTGAATTTTTGGGTGAGGGTAACTCTTGGTCCAAAGGTGACAGATAAGGCTGGGTTTTTGGAAATTCGTACTAGAACGGTACGAAAGTACAACATAAATGTGATACCATTTGTATTTGGTGAACCGGTAGAGCTAGAACTCTTAAATTTTAAATGAGGGTCACTGATGGAGTGTAGAATAGATATAGCAAAGGGTTTTGGACATTCGGACTAAGAGTAAGCGATAAGTACTAAAATGTACCAAATTTTGTACAATTTCATCGCATGTGAATAGATAGAGCTTAAAACATGCAATTTCGAATCCGAATTAGGGTTGAGATAAAGGGTATATTTAGGGAGATGGTTTTTGAAAGCGTGTACTCATGTTACGAAAAGTAATATATGGTACTATATTTGGTACAAATTTAATTCGGAGGTACAAATCGAGCTGGAGTCCTTAAATTCGGAGTGTAGGATTAGGATATGTACGTAGTTTTGGAATTTTTTTTAATTATGTGTACGAAAAGTACTAAATCATACTATAATTGGTACAATTTGGATTTGGGTGAACCGATAGAGCGGGAACGATGAAATTTTGAGTCAGGATTATTGTAGGGGTGTAGGATTAGTATCAGGATTCAGTTTAAGAAATTAATACCTATGGGTCCTAAATAGTACTAATTTTGGTACAATTTAAATTTTAGATGAACCAATAGAGCTAGAATCATGACATTTGGAGACAGGATCACTATTGGAGTGTAAGATCGAGATATGTAGGAAGTTTTAGAAATTTGCCTAATGTGTACTAAATTTGGTGCAATTTGAATTGTGGGTGAACCGATAGAATTGGAATCCTGAGATTTTGATTTAGGAACACCGAGGAGGTGTAGGATTGGGGTATGTAGGAAGTTTTGGAAATTCGTACTATTGTGTATTAAATTTAGTACAATGTGAATTGTGGGTGAACAGATAGAGGTGGAATCCTGAAACTTGGATTTAGAATCACTTTGGGGTGAAGGTTTGGGTTAAGTAGGAAGTTTTGGAAATTCGTACTACTGTGTACTAAATTTAGTACAATTTGAATTGTGGGTGAACCGATAGAGTTGGAATCCTGAAACTAGGATTTCGGATCACGGTGTAGGTTTGGGGTAAGAAGGTTTTTGAAATTCGTACAACTGTGTACTAAATTTGGTATAATTTGAATTTGAAATTATTGTGGTGGTATAGGATCGGGGTATGCAGTAAGTTTTGTTGGATGGTTGAGGAGGGTACTTATGGAAATAATGTGTGCTAAATGGAACTAAAATTTTTGATTTGGGTGAACCTTTAGAGCTCGAATTATGAAATTTGGTACTCAAATTAAATTGACGGTCGATATTAATGTGGGGATTGCTTAGTTTTTATGACATATGCAGTTTTGCTAGTATTTAATAAAATTTAAATATTTACTAGTTACTAGAAAAATATTTGAATTTTATTATTTATATATTTTAAACCCAAATACTTTTAATTAACTTTATTTTATACATATATAGTTTTTAAAATTTTTGAAACACTTCTATATTGTTTTTAAATACTTTTTTAAGAATTATTTTTGGATTTATTGAAATATGTTTTTAAGTATTTAAATACCTAAAACATGTTTATATTTTAGGTTTAGGGTTTAATAACAAACATTTTGAAAAAGGGTTAAAAAATATGTTTCACGAATATTAGAAAAAAAAAACACAGAATAATAAATAATAATAAAATTTGAAGAATTTAAAAAATAACTATTTTTTTCAAAAAATAATTTTGTTTTATAATAATATACGTATCGTTCATTTGCTGCAAGACAGGCAAAACTCAAAAAGACGATTTTGCAGAAAATTCGTTTTAAGTTTTCAATTTACTCACACTTTATATGGGACAGAGGAACTTCTACAGCTTCTCAATTAGAGTGTGTAAGAGATATTCATATGAATTTTTGACACAGCATGAGGTATATTATAGCGAACAATCGTGCATCATTAACTCGAAAATCACGTTTTTGAGTTATGCATGTCTTGCAGCAAATGAACGAAATGTTAAAAACATTAAAAAATCAATAATCTAAAAATATATATATAAAATCTTTTAATAAATAGGATATCAAAGAATAATCTGATAGTATGTATTTTAAAATGCATGAATGAAAAAAGTATATGTAAAAAAGTATTCAAACAAGACTATAAAAAATTCTTTTTTGATAAAAGTTTTTTAAATATTTTTAATTTATTTTTTTTTCAATAGATTTTTTGTTATAATTTTTTTACAAAATTTTCTCTACTTACCTTCTTCACTTCCATATTGATTTGTTCCAAACGGAATGTGGTAATTTGTAAGTCATTTTCAATAGCCTCAGCTTCATATTCAAATGTGGCATCTTTTAGCTGTAAAACAGTAATGGGTTCATCCACCGTGGATGATATGGAACTGGCTTTCATAATGGGATTATAGTATGAGGAAAAATCTAAATCTTGGAGCTAGGAAAGGAATTAAAAAAAATAAATATATTTTTTATAGGAGAAAAATGGCCACACATACATCAATAAGTTCCTGAACCCGTTTCACCGAAATCCATGCCTCCACCAAACCATTTAATACCCATGGAAAAGCATTTAGCGGGCCAATAAGTAAATTTAACAAAGCCACACTTGTATATGTTGTTGAGGCAATTAATGGATTACCCATCCATACCGAAACCCCGAAGGTTAGAAAACACATGAGCACCGGGGTGGTGGCCCAAAAATAAACACACCATGCATCTAAATATTTACGTTTACCCAAAAATTTAACTTCTTCTTTGCGTAGATTTAAAATCTTTTTTATGAAAACATCTTCCCAGGCATTGAGTTTAATCTGTTTCGCTCCCGACATAGTTTCACTTGTTGCCGAGAGGCGAGCATCTTTCGCAGTCATCAGACCCTGTGAATAGTAGGCAATACGTTTGGCTAACCAACGATTGATGGGTATAAGAGCGGTGGCGAAGACAACACCAGCTAAAAAGGCTGCACCCAACTGCGTGTAGAGCAAATAGAGAGTTGTAAACAATTGAAATGGTATACTCCAAAATGAATGGAAGGATATACAGGAGTTGACAATACGATCTGTATCGGTGGACATGAGATTTAATACTTCGGGGGTTGCATCCTTGAGGCCGCGGGCCTCCAATGCTTTGCGATATATGGCACTGACCACACCAATTCGCATTTTCATGCCAATCAACGACATGCGCCACATAAAATGACACGAGCAAAATGCATCTGTAATACAATCACGATTAATTCGAATCTCTAAATATATATTTTTTTCAATATTTTACTTACACACCAATTGCGTTCCCAACAAACCCAATGCATAAATATAGGGTTTCCAGTTTGTTTCCTCATTTTCCTCATCTCCATTACTATTATTGTTGTTGTTTGAACCCGTGGCTTGACTTAATAAGCCGCCTAGTAATAGGGGCCCAGCAAAGCTGGTGGTATCTGCTATAAATCTTAAAATACCTATGGAATAAAACTCCTTGCCAAAGGCCTTGTGTAAGGCCCATACCAAATTCTTCGACCTTGATATGCTAGTTTGCAGTTTTTCACTAATACGTGATATATTTAAAGCCTCTGGTAGATCAAAAAGATCTTCAATTCGTTTTAAATTGCCAGCCAGCCCTTTTGATATTAGAGGTCCAACCCAATGGAACAGTAGACGGGAACCAAAATTCGCCTCATCTTGAGCATGACCCAAATGAACTTCATTAAAATCAAAATGGAAATGGGTATAACGTTGCGATAACAATGATGTGGTTTCCGATAGGCTATCCTGATGAGGCATCCGTTGTGCTGAATATACGGCATTGCCCTTGGGCAGTAGGGTAACAACATAACATAGATCTAATAACAAAGTGGCCAAACTCCATGGCCACCAATCATAATGGCGACTTGAGCGTAACCATACCGCATCCAAAACAAATACAGCCAGCCACATTACAGTCATCACCAGCGGTCCACGGTGATTTACATGGCCAAAGTTGCGTGATGATAATAAATAGCCTGGAATTAGAAAGAACACAAACATACATACAACTTAAAACAAAATCATTGCAAAATAGGGGATTTTTTTCAAAAGAACCCACCCCTACTACTTTTTCTTAACTCACACTCCCCACAACATACTATGAGCCTACCATGTACAAATCGATAAAACACAAACAAGTGATAAGAATTGAAAAAATAAAATATGAAGATTGATTTACTTCCGTCCGTCCTTCCTTACCTCCATGCACTACCCACATAACACACTCCGCACATACAATCAAAACATCGGCAGCATACAATTTTACACCCATACGATAAAATAGAAATATTTTCAATACGGGTAATGCGGCCAGCATTAACGAGATTAAAACTCTACAATTTATTGCCAGCAACTGGGTACGATTTCGTGCAACATTCCGGGAAAATGCACCAAAATTATATGCCGATATTGCTGCAAATATTGTATAGATGGGAAATTGCAGAACAATCTCTTGGAAACATGGCAGCAAATCATTGGAGCCGGCAGCAAATGGTTTAACGCCCGTCGAACAAAACTCCGACCAATTCCAGGCGAAATTCCAACCCATTTCCGATGACATGATGGACGAGCCTGAAAAAAAAACAAAAATTGTATTTTTCGTTGGTCTATGGAAACACCCATTTCCATTTCAATACCGGAAGATCTCTATGTTTACCTTGAATTCCTTCCTTCTCCTCCTTCTTCTTCTTTCTGTGTGTGATCGCTTTTTGACTTCCTTTTCCTAAATTATTGTTTCAGCAATTGATGAATGTATTGATTGTCCATTGCACGATGGATCATGGAAATTTGATAACAAATTGTTGTGACTAATATCAAATACGGTCCCTTCGTTTCCTTAAACCCCACACACAACAAAAATGAAAACAAACCACAACAAAAGGTAAACATTGATTTCACAACTGTCATTACGTACGCGAATACGTCATGCACTAACTGCGGCAAATATGATACAGAGTTGCCGCTGTCACATTAAATAGCAATATATTAGGGCTATTAAAAATAATTGAACTTGTCGAATAAAAATATAAAAATGGGACTCTAAACGGAGTTGTTTATAAACCAGCTAGGAAATATCGGTCGGAATGCCGTCTTACTTAGCTGGCTTGTGACAGAACTTTCGTTCCATAAGACGAGCTAAAAAAATTCGATATATTTTTTTTAGATAGGGAGTTTTGAAGTTCCATGAGAGTTCGCCAAAGTCTGAATTACTTGCTGAGCCGCCCAAGTATCAACAATGCTCCATTTGAACACAGTCGGACTGAAATAGGCCTTAGACCCCAGACCTAGGAATTGGTCGAAAATTTCATCTCGTTGATCTTAGACATTTCCTACGAGACTCTAAGTCTAAATATTTTGTAGATGCGCCCATGTTTACATTCTAATATACATACGTATGAGCACGATGCCCACTAAAATCCCAACGTAAGGGAGGTTACTTGAAGAATGTTAGGCATTTTACTTAGGGACACCAATTTCGCCACGTCGATCTTAGTCATTTCTTATGGGCCTCTAGTCTGAATACTTGTTGAGTCGCTCAAGTATCAACGAGGCTTCATACAGTACTGATGAGCACTAAAACCCAAGCGCTAGGTAGGTCACTTTAAAAAGAAGCTTACCAAAGACCTAGGGATTGGTTATTTAGGGCGCCATTTCCACCTCGTAGGTATTGACAATTCCCTCTGAGACACTAAGTCTGAATAATTTGTTTACGGCGCTCCAAAGCAGCATTTAAATACAGTGGTTAGGGGTCACTTTAGGAAGGAGCTTACCTAAGGCCTACCGATCGGTTATTTAGGAGTGCCAATTTCACTTCGCCGATCATGGTTATTTCCTCTAATGGTGTTTTTACACGATATGTATTTTACATATGTGCTGTCACTTATTTCATCCATATGTAATTCCTTATGTGTGTCAAAATTAGCAGCGTACACAAAAAATTTATTTTTGTGTTCAAATCGGCATATGTATTTTACATATGACATAACCTATAAACAAAGAAACACTTTTATTTTTTCTTAAATCAACATAATTTTTTTTATTAAACACCTACAAACGAAATAATAATTTGTAATTGTTGCCTTTTCATCCTTTTCTTTGACTTGCAATTGAAATATTTTCTTCCAAAAATTGTTTCAAAAAACAGCTGATTTCCTTATGTTTCACATACGAAAATAGAAGCGCGAAAAACTTTGATATAAAGGAAAAAAATACATATGTAATTGCATATCGTTTTGAAACATTGTTTAAAAAAATTTCCGTATGTTTCACATGACGAGTTCGATTTCCATATGTAAAAAAATGACAGCACATATGTAAAATACATATCGTGTAAAAACACCATAACACTCTAAGTCTGAACAAAATATTAAGGTGCCCAATGCTCCATTCGGTTACAGACTGAAAACTGTAAAACACTGATGAACACGAGGTGACATTAGAATGATTTTTTCCTCGTTGATCATGGAACCATAGGCACTCAGTCATTTCCGATAGAATTTAGTTCTGCTCCCCGTCGGCGGATCTGTCATAGGTAGTTTGTAGGTGAGAGAGTTGAGGGAAATGGTACTTCAGTTTTTTATTTTTATAAAATCCTCCAAAAAATCAAAAAGGCCCCAAAGAATGAATAGACTGAGCAAAGTGCATTATTCAACAACATGAACTGATGGTTCCAGTTGAGAATGGTTCCTATCATTTCACTGAATCATTTATTTGAACTTAAACAGAGAAGAAGAAGAGCAGAGTAATATCAAATCGATTAGATTTTTTCCGAATTGTGGAATATTTTTAGATAAAATCCAATTTAATCATAAAATCATAAAAGTTGGCATTAGTCGTATCCCAATTGGAATTGTTTCCATTTCAATCGTTAATTGGAATGTAAAATAAAGGAGAGAATATCCCTAAAATCTAGTGTAGAAAACATTGGAATCCCCAACAACACCCAAAACAAATATTAGGAATTGATTGGACAGGAGGATGCGTAATACATCGAAGGTTGAGACACTAATTGAGACCTGTCGCAGCGAGGGCAAATGGCAGAAGGTGATTGATTTAACCGATGAACTGAAGACAGGGTCTCCCAACAATGGTAGGTGACAAATCAAGGCCAATAGGATTACGAAATGTATTACTTTGTGATTCATTTTTTTTCCAGAGTGTTTAGCTCATTTCTTGGTGGGTGAGGCCCGTTTAGAATCGTATTTGGAAGAAAATCCGCCCATTGAAAGTAATTTTGCCAAAGCCAAGAGTGGCCTGAGTGATGCCCGCCGTAGCCTGAATTTGGTAACTGGGGAAAATGGCAAAACAGCTGGCATTGCATTGGATGCCTATCTACTGCTGGCCAAATTGTGTTATGCCTGCGGCGAGTATGAGAAGAGTTTGGAGAATTTTGTAAAGGCGGAATTGAACACATTGGCCGAGAAGGAATTAACTTTGTAAGTTTAGTAGGGAAAGGGTGGGCATTTTTAGAATGATTTCAATGGGTTATTTGTTTACAGGAGAAGCTTAAAGATACTGGCTGAGTCATATGCCATTAAGGGTCTGTGTTTGGAAAATCAAACCTCGAAGCCTTCATCTAAATTCAAGAAGGCTGAAAAGGAGGCAGAGATGGTAAGGGTTTTAATTTACCATTATAAAATAAATGTTATCGATGTTTTCTCCCTTTCCCCTTAGATTTCTTGCTTTGAACGGGCTACCGATTTGGGTTTACTCTATCTTCAAGAGCAGGACATTGCTGCCTATGCCACATCGGCCAATAATACGGGTGGTTCAACATTGGCCATTAATGCCAGTGTCCAGCAATCGGCCAGCAATATGGCCATTAGTTCTACAATTCCTGCAAATCCCCTAGAATTAAATCGGCGCATGGGTACCATTTTAGAAACTGCATTGCAGAGAGCACCCATTGTCCTAATTAAGGCTGGTAAACTTCAAGAGGCAATTGATCGTTATCGTATTATGTTGAATGCAATTGAAACTAAAACGACTCAGTCCCTACGTCTAACCTTAGCCAGGCAATTGGCTGAGGTTTTATTGCGAGGAGTTTCTGGTACAATATATACCGCGCCCTTCCAAAAGAAACAAGGCACCGCATCGACTCTCAAGACAAGTGGTACATCGAAAAAGCTGTGGAAACCTAGGAAGTATGCTGCGCGGAACCAATTTGTACCACGCAATCAACAAGAAGAGACCATTTTGTTACTTTTAATAGCTGAAGCCTTGGCTGTTAGGGATACCGTACTCTCACAAAGTCCTGAATTTAAAGTGGCACGTACCCATGCAATGGGTAATGCCACTGCGGTATATGATTTACTAACTTTGGCCACGGTGCGCTGGGGTTTGGTACAGCTACTCAATGAATCCTTTGAAAAGGCATTGAAATTCTCATTTGGAGAGCAACATGTTTGGCGTCAATATGGTATATCGCTGATGGCTGCTGGCAAACATATGCATGCTCTAAGGGTATTACAGGAATCCATGAAACTTAATCCCGGGGATCCACTGCCATGCCTCTTGGCTGCCAAGCTATGCTATGAGTCATTGGGCTTGATAAAAGAGGGTTTGGATTATGCCCATCAGGCTTTGAAAAGGGAGACCAAAGGTAGGAAATTTTTTAGAATTAATTTTTCCAATACATATCAAATTTTATTTCTTTTTTTTACCAACAGGTTTACGACCATCACGAGCTCAACTTTACGTCGGCATTGGTTATCAACAATTGGCCATACAAAGCACCCTGAAATTAGAAAGAGAAAACTACAACAAATTGGCATTGGATGCCTTGGAAAAGGCCGTACAAAACGATGGCAATGATCACCTGTGTGAATATTATCTGTCATTACAATACGCCCTACTCAATAACATTCCAGAAGCATTGACCCACATACGTTTCGCCTTGGCCTTACGTACCGAACATGCACCAAGTTTACATTTATTTGCATTACTTTTAACCGCATCAAGACGTCCACGCGAAGCATTGGTTGTCACCGAAGATGCTTTGGAGGAATTTCCAGATAATTTAAATCTTCTACATGTTAAGGCTCATCTTCAATTACATTTACAAGATGCTGAAATTGCATTGGTCACAGTACAACGTATGTTGGCAATATGGCGTGAACTATATGAGGGTCAAGTCAACGTTGAGGAAGAAAAACATTCGGATACAAAGAGTTTAATACTGCATGTGCCATCGTCACAAATGTCCGATAAGGATTCAAGTAAGTAGTGTGGTGAAATAATAATTTTTTTACAGAGAATTTACTTAGGGTTTGGGAAGCTATAAAGGTATACAATAAAGATAGAGGAATCTTTATTGTGGAGTCAATATGTCTAAACAATAGATTGAATACGACGTCAAACGTTTTGTACAAAAATCTGCAATGATTGGATCAAATAGTTGGACTAACTCCGAACATATCAACGTATGAAAATAATTTCATGCGCGCATCAGCCCACCAGGCTGTCTGAAATCCATTTGGCCTAATGACGAAGTCTAAAGGCGATAAAGAACATTTTTGGTCGTTTTAGCCTTAAGGCTAATGGAATAATTTCCGAAGGCAGTTGAGTCCAATTTTTTTAGAATATATTCAGGGAATATTTTTCCAAAGACCTCGTTGTTTTTTAAGTAAATTTTTCCAAACACCGCGTTGCCTTTTTTACATAAATTTTTCCAATGACCGCGTAGCCTTTTTATGAATATTTTTTCTAAGCACCGGCGTAGATTTTTTTAAAAACTATTTTTTATTTTTAGTACATTTTTATAAGATATATGTTTTGCAAAGCTCCATTTTTATGAAGAATATTTTTCCATGGTCCATTTAGACGTAGATTTTTATAAGGAATATTTTTCCAAAGTTCATGTATGCGCGGATTTTTAAAAGGAATATTTTTTCAAGGTCCATTTAGAGTTAGATTTTTATAAGGAATAAAGGCGTAGGTTTTTAAAAGAAATATTTTTCAAAGCTAATGGAATAATTTCCAAAGGCTGTTGAGTCTGGCGTTCTATACAGACGGATCCAAGATGGGAGAAGGTACAGGGGCTGGCGTCTACTGTTAAAGGCTAGGTATTGAGCTTACATACAAGTTGGATAGCAACTGTAGTGTTTTCCAAGCAGAAAACTTCGCGATTTGGAAGGCAGCGGAATTGATAAAAAGTCTGGATGCAGAGCCGGTGACTATCTTTGTGGCTCTTAAAGCCATCCAATCCTCTTACGTCAAATCTGAGACCGTCCTCAAGTGTAGAACACTTTTGGAATAACTTACAGCGATCGGTTGTGTTTGGTACCAGGACACCGCGACATCATGGGTGATGAAAGAGCTGACGAATTTGCTAGACGAGGTTCTCAACCTTCCGGTCTAGCAATTGATGGCTCAATCAAACCACCCATCATCTATATCGGAACGTTGGCACAACGAACCTAGGTGAAATGTGTCAAGCTCTATTTGGCCGACTCTATCTACCAAAAGGACACACTCACTGTTGAACCTGAGCAAAGCTGAAATAAGAGTAATGACCGGAATCATTATTGGTTATTGCAATATTAGGGCCTTTACCAGTAAATGGGACCATAATGCAACATATTACTATAGACTCAGCGTTGACGAGGAGGAGACGGAGACAATTGAGTATCTCGTGTGTCGCTGCCCAGTCCTGGCCTACTGCCGGCACAGACTAGTGGGTGCTCATTTTCTACCGAGTCTTAGTTTCTTCTCAACAACGGAACCTGCTCTAATCTACAGCATCATTAGAAACCTAAAGTGGTTTGGAATGTGCAACCATGACACGTAATATATCTTCTGTCCGATCTCTATAGCCATCGATACTATTTCAAACTTGCCTTCTTACATTTTCTTGTAAGCTTCTCAACTCTCTCTATCCCCCCACATTAGTGACTGCACGTCCCCAACATTACCTAGTCCTTGAAAAAATATTTATTCGTTTATTTCTGACCTCAAAAATTATTATATAAAAAATACACTTTACAATTGTTGTTTGATAGTCCTTGCAAAAGAATTCTTAAAACAAATGGATAAAAATGCTTTAACTCCCGATTATAGCTGCCTTAAAAATAAATGGTATTTATAGGTTTAGTAGTCCTTTCCAAAATATTCTTTTAAAATCTATGCTAGTAGAGTAAATATGGAACTGCGTACAAAACAGGATTAAATTACATAGTTTATGGTTCACATATTTTCCACTAGATGGATGAGTAAATGGTTCATGTGAAGACACGAACCATTTACCAGAAATGAAATTACCACCCTGTGATTGTTAGTAAAGCCATAACTCAAGAAGCTTAAGTCTACATCATTGTTAGCTGTAACACTATTGGTTCGTGTCTACGATACGGTAAAGGATGAAAATTAGATCAAATATTTCTATGAATCGATCTTTAAATTAAAATAAAATCTATGTTTTGCAAACTATTCTAATAAAAATCCATTCTTTGATAAAACTTGGAAAATTATTTTTCAAAAATCCACACATCATCCTACATTTTTTTGTCTGCCCCTATAACTCATATCGCTGAAATTGTATTATGCAATTTTCTGTGTGTCTTTTCATCCGAGGGACATATATTTAAAAACTTTGCATTTAAAATTTAATACTTTGTACATCATACTCTCATTTAAAATTATAAACCTACAATTTTTATAGGAAATTTCAATATTTTTAAATCCCGCAATTTCCCTCGCCACCCAACATTTTACTAATTTCGCGTAATAACTTAAAATCCTTGTGCCAAATATTAATACCTATTTTTTATTTTCTTTTTGAAACACATTAATTTCAAAATATATGTAAATATATATTTTTTCAACATTTATTTTCGGATAATTCCAATTCAAATAAAATAATATACTGTAAGTTTTAATGGTTATAAAAAGATTTTGTTAAATATTCTTTCCCGTTTTATTGAGTTTCACTTTGTTTACGTACTAAACTAAAATTCATTTGTTTGTTTTTTAATACTATCCTATAATCACTTTTAATAATTTTTTTCTAATAAAAATTGTTTTTTTTTATTTTTTAAAGAATTACCATAAAAGAAATGCTAAACAAAAAATCGTACACACTTCTTAATTGTTGTTGCTTTTAATTCGAAATGCTAAACAAGCCAATTGTGTAATCCCCCAACAAATTAAAGGACATTTTGTACGCCAAAGGAATTTACTCACCATAAACAAAAAATTGTTTAAGCAATTAAAAGCTTTATCTTACTCTCTCTTTCTCTCTTTCTAAATCACTTTCTCTAATCAAATACAATTTGTTTTCTTGTAATTTGTATGCTGTTGTTGTTGCCGTTTTATTCTTCCTACAAGTTTTATGCATTTTCTTTTTTATTATCTAGAGATATAATTATGTACACGTATTTGTTTTATTTTTCTGGCATTTTTCATTCACATTTGCGCTATGCTTTGGTAGTTAATTTTTATCTTTGTTATATCCTGAAATTTAATTTTAAGATTCTGTTTATGCGGCTTCTCTGGCGGCAGTATCACGTGTGGAACAAGCTTTAAGTGAGGCGGCCAGTTCTCTTAGCTCGTTTACTCCCAAACCTGGGCCACAACGACCATGGATGATACAAATTAAGGTAAAGAGGGAGGAAGGGAGAAGATTTTTATTTTTTTGTATTCTAACCAAAAAATTTTAAAATTTATTATTATTTTAGATCTGGTTACTTTTGGCCGATGTCTATTTGTCCATTGAACAACCTGCCGAGGCATTGAATTGCATACATGAGGCATCACAAATCTATCCATTGTCACATCAAATTATGTATATGGTAAGTACGCAACGATCGGAATCCGATCAATTGGTTTAAGACCAGCTGGGCTGTATAGAGACCAAAGGTCTTTATATATAGACCAGCTGGGCTGTATAGAGACCAAAGGTCTTTATATATAGACCAGCTGGGCTGTATAGGGACCAAAGGTCTTTACAGCCCAGCTGGGCTGTATAGAGACCAAAGGTCTTTATATATAGACCAGCTGGGCTGTATAGAGACCAAAGGTCTTTATATATAGACCCGCTGGGCTGTATAGAGACCAAAGGTCTTTATATATAGACCAGCTGGGCTGTATAGAGACCAAAGGTCTTTATATATAGACCAGCTGGGCTGTATAGAGACCAAAGGTCTTTATATATAGACCAGCTGGGCTGTATAGAGACCAAAGGTCTTTATATATAGACCAGCTGGGCTGTATAGAGACCAAAGGTCTTTATATATAGACCCGCTGGGCTGTATAGAGACCAAAGGTCTTTATATATGGACCCGCTGGGCTGTATAGAGACCAAACGTCTTTATATATAGACCCGCTGGGCTGTATAGAGACCAAACGTCTTTATATATAGACCAGCTGGGCTGTATAGAGACCAAAGGTCCCTATAAAGACCTTTTTTTTCAAATATAAAAATGAGATATTTCATTTAAAATTTCCATTCATTTTCAGCGAGGATTAGTCTGCGTCTATCAGGAGCAATGGAATGAAGCTAAGCAGTGTTTTTTGAATGCTGTGGCAGCCAATCCCAATCACACAGAAGCTTTAAGAGCATTGGGTGAGACCCATCATATTTTGGGTGAGCCTCGTTTGGCCGAAAAACTACTTAAAGATGCTGCAAAACTGGATCCAAATTGTCCCAAAATTTGGTAAATTCTTGAAATTTATTTTACTATAAAGACATATTTTTTATCGTTTTTTTTTCAGGTTCGCTTTGGGCAAAGTACTCGAAAGTCTGGGTGAATATACAGCATCTGCTGATTGCATGGCCACCGCATTACAATTGGAACCAACATGTCCTATACTTCCATTTACCTCAATAGCATTAACATTTGATTAAATTCGTTTCACAAATTCCCCAACCGAGAAAAACGAAGTCCTCTGTCCACAACAGTATTAACTAAAGTGGAAGGCTATTTTGTTTTTAATTACTAGAAAGATAAATGTGTTACTACTATTATGATTAAGTGTGTATGTATGTTGTTTCCTCGTTATGTCTTTATAGTGTGTAATTTTGGTGTTTTATTTGTCTTTGGTTAAATGCAATTTACGAACGATATATATAAAAATATATACTAATGGCAAAAATGGTTCCATACAAATGAAGGCGTGGATTTATTTATTTGTACTTTTTTCAAAGACTTTTTAAGGCGCGGATTTATTAAAGTAGAATTTTTTATAGACTACCAAAGGCGTGGTTTTATTTAAATATTTTTTAAAGACTATCCAAGGCGTGGATTTATTTAAGTAGAATTTTTTAAAGACTATCCGAGGCGATTTATTAAAGTACAATTTTTTAAAGACTATCCGAGGCGATTTATTAAAGTAGAATTTTTTAAAGACTATCCGAGGCGATTTATTAAAGTAGAATTTTTTAAAGACTATCCAAGGCGTGGATTTATTAAAGTATAATTTTTTAAAGACTATCCAAGGCGTGGATTTATTAAAGTAGAATTTTTTAAAGACTATCCAAGGCGTGGATTTTTTAAAGACTATCCAAGGCGTGGATTTTTTAAAGACTATCCAAGGCGTGGATTTTTTAAAGACTATCCAAGGCGTGGATTTTTTAAAGTAGAATTTTTTAAAGACTATCCAAGAAGTGAATTAAATAAAATGTATTTTTTTAAGACTATCCAAGGACTGAATTAAATAAAATTAATTTTTTAAGACTATCCAAGGCGTGGATTTATTGGATTTATCACTTCCAGATGTTCTATACCAAATAGCTACTGCTCGTACCTATAATACCCTACCTTTTGTAAACAAAATAAATCGATTGTGGTATCCCTAAAACAGCTGTTTAATTTCTGGTGGGAGTTACTAGAGTATATCGTTAAAGTTTATTTTGTTGAGACAAGTCGGTCGGATTAGGAGCCTGTTCATCCTTGCTGGAAGTCATCAGGAAGTGAATTCATCTCCTTGAGTCTCCTTTCAGTGAGAAGAAAATAAAGTATATTCTCATTATGACAGCGGATACAGAAGAGATACACCCAGGAGACAATCAAAAACTCACAACAATTGACAATACAAAGGAGAACCAAAAACCTTTGCCCCAGGAAATTATGGAAATCTTAAAAGATTTAAGTGAAAACAGCAAAATTGTTTTCAAATCTCAACAAAGAGGTGATCCGGAACTGCTGCAATCGGAAAAAATTCAACTGGCCAAAGATGTGTATCAACGGAATCCGCAAACGTTTTTAATACGTTTTGGCAGTTATATGCAGCAGAAACATTTGGAAGATTTCGCTCGGCTCTCGATTGCCGACAGCGATGAAGAAATGCATTCGATGGTTAGTGAATATCAAAGGAAACTGAAAACCCGCGCTCAGGATGTAAAGAATCGTAGATATGTGGCCCTGCAACGACTGATAGAGGGTGGGGAATATTTCAGTGAACAGGAAATGATGAAACGGTCACCGGAACTATATCATGAACTTGTTGGCCAGCATTTAAGTAAAGAAGAACGACAACTGCGGGATAGCTATGATGTTAAAAATACCACATTTTCTGGGATCCTAATGCACAATATGGAACGTGATGAAATTACCAAAATAATGGAAGAAGCAGAGAAGAAGGCGATAGAAACGCAGTCCGATGAATCGCGGGAAAGTACAAATTCACCCATATCCATTACAGAAATTAATGAGGGAAGTAATCCCAAAGATACTATCTTTGATGAAATCGATTCGGTGGTACCACAAAATTTCCAACAGCAGTGGGGTAATTTTGATAATGAACAACAGGCCTGCTCCTCAAGTAAAATAGAAAAGAAAAAGGCGAAGAAGAAGCCGGAGGTGACAAACAAAATCATACCTTTAAAGAATCTAATCACAGCCGATGAGCGGGAACTTTTACGACAGGAATTCATCAGTCAAATGCATGAATCCTTTCTGAATGGTCAGGATAGTGATTTTGATTATGCCACCGTAGATGATAATACCCAATATGATGATTTGGAAACTCTCAATCAAGATCGGGAGGATAAGTACTTTGAAGAGGATAGTGATGAGGAGGATGATGGTGGGGACGGGAAAGCAAATGATACCGGTACAATGGAACAAAGTGAATCGGAAGATGAATTAGATGTCTATATGAATCATTTAAATAAACATTTTAGTTTACAAAAATAATCGCAATGGATGTTTTTGTCTTTGGGTAATTTAAGAAGTCGTAAATTTAATTAATTTTTAGTTAGTAAATTTTTTTTTTTTTTGTTAGATGATTTTATTATTAAAAATGATACCAAATTTCCAGATATATGGGTAAGTAAAAGCTCAAATTTTAAATTAAATTATTAATTAAAAACTTATTTTTTTAAGAATATTTTTTTCAATGCCACGCCCTATAGGATTTTTTAAAGAATGTTTTTTTTTTCAAGGCCGTGGATTTTTTAAAGAATATTTTTTGAGGGACCAAAACAAGGCGTGGATTTTTTAAAGAATATTTTTTGAGGACCAAAAAAAGATTTTTAAAGATTAGTTTTCAGAGACCAATACAAGGCGTAGATTTTTTAAAGATTAGTTTTTAGAGACCAATACAAGGCGTAGATTTTTTAAAGATTAGTTTTTAGGGACCATTTTTTTCAACGACTATACAAGGCTTTGATTTTTTAAATATTAGTTTTTAGGGACCATTTTTTTCAACGACTATACAAGGCTTTGATTTTTTAAAATTCATTTTTCAACTGTTATACAAGGCTTTGATTTTTTAAAAATGACATTTTTTTCAACGACTGTACAAGGCTTTGATTTTTTAAAGATTAGTTTTTAGGGACCATTTTTTCAACGACTATACAAGGCTTTGATTTATTAAGGACACATTTTTACTTACCTTATTTGTAGATCCATTTCATATTTTTTTGAAAATACTCGTTTTGTTTTATTTTTATTAAATCTTTATTCAATACGTTTGTTTTTATTTAGTTTTCCATTTATGACAATTTTAATCAGCTTTTACAAGTTTTTACTAAAAGAAATACATAATTTGTTTTGTTTGTTGTTCTTCGTTTGTTTGCATTTTCTTTGTTAATTCTTAATTGTGTTGTTTTTTTTATAATAAATGATTTTCAAAATGTTTTTTTCGTTAACAAATTACATCTATTTTGTTATTTTGTTTTGTAAGGACTGTGTATCAGGTTTTGAATTTCTCAAGGTATGTTTTGTCCTACAATTAATGTTATATTTTTTGTTTGGTATTGCTAAAAAAATTTGGTTTACATTTGAAGCTTACAAATTTAATAGGTTCTTGTAGGAATTGGAGGAGAAGAAGAGATAATTTTTTGCTTTGGATTTTTTTAATAAAATCAATTAAAAAATGTATGTTTTATGAACAAGAACTCAAGGGAAATTCAAAATTTTGGTTTTTATGTAATTATGTCAGGATTTGAAATGTTTTTTTAATTTTTTTCTTTTCTTCTAAATAGTTTTTTTAGTTCTACATAGTATGTTGGTTTGAGTGTGTCTGCGATTTGGGGTCTGGATAAGAATTACACCTACATCTTGTGTTTTGTTATTGGTTTTTTAAATTTATTTTCAATTGTTTTGTATTTGAAGCTTCTTGTCTAGCTTTAACTTCTATGTTTCTTTGTTTTGGCAGTTGGTCAGTAATGTGACGGTGTATTGTGTGTCTGTGATTTCTAATGAATTTCTACTGCACGATTTCGAAAAAGAAAATTACAACAATTTACTTGGTGCGGCAACAATACTCAGCTGAGTGAAGGGAGTCATGGCCTAAGATTTTGGAATTTTTTTGAGGTTAATTAAAATCATTAAAAGGAGATTATTTTAAAGACTTTTGAAGAAATGTTTATAATCTTCTGTATGGAGAACGTGTAGTCTTCTACAAGACGAGAGTGAAGTCTTTTATAAGGCAGGAAGGCAATTTAAAGTATTCTATTAGAATACCTTCAAATCTTTTATTAGAAGACCTTGAAATCTTCTATTTAAAGCCTTAAAGTCTTCTATTGGAAGACCTTGAAATCGTACCTACAAGAAGACCTTGAAATCTTCTATTAGAATTCCTTGAAATCTTCTATTAGAAGATCTTAATATAGAAGGTTTTTCTATGAGGTGATCTTGACATATTCGAAGAGGAAACCATTACTTCTTCAATGGTATAATCAAGGTCTATTAATAAGGTCATCCAGGCCCTGAATTGGTTGGTTTTAAGAATGACATATTGTCAGGCTACTTTGAGTAGATCTCAGTTCCTTCTATGGGTCCCTAGTGTCTTCTATGAGAAAATCTTAAAATATGGTTGGATTTACTTTGCCTCGTATGGGATCGGGCTAAGAAGACTTTTTCAAGTAAATCGATGAAGTTTTCTATATGAAGAAGACATTGAACCATTCTCTGCCAATTCTGACATTTTCAGAAGTAAGCTTTGTAGACTTTGAGAAGACCCTCGTGTTTTTATTAGAAAACCCTGAAATGACTCAAGTCTTTCATTAGCATTCTTTGCAGACAGGTTACTTCGAGGAGATCTCAATTCCTTATATGGAAAGGGAAAACCTTAAAATTGGGTTCGAATTGACTTTAAATCGCATGGGTCTTTCATTAGAATTATTTGCAGCTAGGCTACTTAGAGGAGATCTCAGTTCCTTATATGGGATGGGTCGTTTTCGACTTGACTTTATCTATGTCTCCTTCTAGGTGTATATTTTTTGTATTTGAACTTTGGGGTTTTGATCATATCGTTTACAGAACTGATCGATCTCCTTCATTTTCTACAAAGGAACTAGTTCCTTTGCTCCATATAGTCCCCACTCCCATATAGTTGAATTGAATCTTAATTGAGAACTGAAAAATGTATGAACTCAGAAAAGACCTTAAGAACTAATCCTAGCTCCGATCACTTCGTTCTCAGATTAGTTCCAATTAAACTAATTTATTTCGGAACGAATCAACTATTAAGTCTAGTAATTTCTTCCATGAGAACAACTAAAACATGGCGCTTGGTTTTGCCTCCTTTAAGATCGCCTTACTGGACCATGGATCCTTTATGGGTTCGTATTACTTTTTGTATGTCTGTAGTCCTATATCATGTAAAAACGCTAACTAGCTATTCAATTATTGGTCTGAACGGTTTGTTGTTTTTTTTTTTTTTTTGGATTCCCTTTCAATATGTAATTTATCTATTGAATTATTGAACTTTGGATGCAATCGAATTTGGAAAGAATCTATTGTATAGATTTGGCTCATCATGTTCAGGGAACTGATCGTTATTTCTCGTTCCTTTTCTAGAAAGGAACTAGCTTCTTCGCTCCTTATAGTTCATATTCCTAGATAGTTTATTTGAATCTTGATTGAGCTCAGAAAAAGGAACTTAGTAAACTCAAGGAACTAAAAAGCTGGGTATAGTTCCGATTGTTCCTTTCTTGTAATAATTCCAATGAACTAGTTCGTTCCGAAACGATCTAACTCGAAATTCCACTACTATACATTAGAGAAACTTAATTCCGGGATTTGACTTTTTCTCCTTTAAGATCGCCTTCCAGGACCATGACTCCTTAAACGGTTCGTATTGTTTTTTTTTGTATGTCTGTAGTCCTAAATCATGTAATATCGCTAACTAGCTATTCAATTATTGGTCTGAACTGATTCCCCTTTCAATATTTCCAGGTGTAGTTGTTGTAATTTTATTTTTTATGACTCTCAAATGTTTGTTGTTCTTCCTATTACTTTTTTGTTGTAAAGCATTTCAAGCTTCCTAAAATTTCAATTGGGAATTTTCACTTAAAACTTTCCATTGAAAATTTAAAGTAAATATATTCGAGATTGTTTTTTGGTATTAGCTGCATGTTGGGTTTTGCACACCTCTTAGTTTTTGGATTTTTTTCTTTTATTTTAACTTATAACCTATTGTTTGTTTTTATTTATTTTTATTATTTGTATTATTTATTTTAACAAATTTATTAGTTTTTTTCTTTGTTTTAATATATATTTTTTGTTTTTTGTATTTTTTTATTCAAAATCTTTCTAAAAAAAGAGAGGACCAAAAAACGTTGTTATTTTGACTTAAGTTTTTTAAAAAATGTGGTAACGGTAGGCTACAGATACTTTGCTATCTTTTTTTTGTTGTAAAAATTCACATTCAATAATACTTTCATTTGAGAGAGGGAGGAAGGAAGTGAAGTGTTGAAGTTGTTGTTGTTGGTTTATTTGTATTGTTATTAAGAGATAATGCTGAAAAATTATAATAATTGTTAACAATTTAATTAGAACTTATTTTATTTTAACTTTGGTTTTACTATCAGATATATAAAGGTCCCGAGGAAGGGGTTATCGAAAGGTGGTCGGAAGGATATTTTAATATAAAAATACTTTAGAGCCCTTAAATGAAAACTCATTTGCTCTTCTCTGAGAGCAATAGGTCTTAAATAAAATAGTATTTAATAAAATCGAAAAGCTCTCCTATTCGAAGGCCCTGTAACTCGTTTATAAAAATACCTTCAAGAAGTTCTTTACAAAGTCGTTAAAATATTATTCTAATCGAACCTCTATTATCTCAATGAGGTTGTGGAGAGACCGAGATTTGATAGCGTTGTAAGAAATTCCCAACGAACCTTTATATTTCTATGTTTCGGTACACAATTTCATCTATTGAGGCGGGATGGCTTAGGAAATTTTAGTGTTACATTCAAATTATCCAGTTCTGAAAAAATATAAAAGAAAACTGTTATTAGATTTCAAAACATCTTTCAAAATCTTTTTACTAACTCACCTCAATTGCTTAATAATTCAAATCGAATTTAAAAATTTTATAAATTTCTTAAAACTTAATAAAAATTAGTGAGTTAATGTGTTTTTTTAAATAGTTTATGAAATAATTTAACAGGAAACTAAAACAACAACAATGAAAAAACAATAATAAGATTTAAACAAAAGCAATCGTTATGCTGTTTTGTCTAAAATCTAAATAAAAATTCAAATTAAACAAATCTTTTCAGCAAAAATGCCAAGGCGAAGAACAGCGATGTGGCCATGGCCATAGAAGACACGCCGAGACCAGCAGCTGTGTTGCAATTATCTTCAGTGCAGGAGCAGACAACTTGACGACCGCCAAAACCGGCACGGGTATAACAGCTTTGGTAGCTGGTTTGATTTTGGAAACCACAGGTACGAATGACACG